AATTTAATTTTTAAACCAGCTATAATGTGCCCATTGCAATCGATTACAGAACGCATGTAAAATACATTATATATTTAGACGGTATATATACGGGCCGTATACAGAGAAACACATATGTAACAGCCACTGTATGTATATTGAGAATACTTTACTGTATTAGGTTGTGCGTATTGTACACAAACTGTGGTATGATGTTTGATACCTTTTACAAATTAATTATGTGAATGAAATACTCTAACATAATTTTTACAAGCACACTTACATTTGTTGTGAATAAGTTGTGCTAAATCTTCATTCTATTACTGAAAAAACGGATTTATTACATCAACTTAAAACATGCTTTTATATCTTAGTTAATCAGATTAGTAATCTAACATACACTTCTTGATATTTTATATCTATGGATATTATAATACTGCACCACATCAGGCTTAATTTTCTTCTGTAACTCAAACATGATGACAATTATAGATTTAAATATAACGTTTATAACAGGAATGTGTTTACATTCAAAACATGTATCTTTAGTAATCTCTGTGGCATCGCAGGACCGTGAGGGATGATGCCGGTGTCAGAAGGCCTTCGTCTAGATAGATATTAGCTAATTAACGAATCTTTACTTCGATGAACACTGACATCACACGAATATGAATATAGATTATGATGGTAATCAGTAGCAAAGATAGACAGTAAAGCATTCCCATAATGCTTCACAGGCAATAGCATTAAAGATGTTATACATAGGCAGTCACTAAGCTGGTCAATTTATAGGAGTGCAAAAATACATTTCAGGGACAAAAATGCATTTCCAGAGGTGCCATCACACCCCCAGTAATTCACACAGGGTGGAGATGTATTCTTAACCCTCCCTCGAGCAGCTGAAAGTGATAATTGCAATGTATGTCTAAGGGATCTAATTCTAAACGTGTTTAAATCAAGTGAGAGTTGTGTGGTGCTAATTTTCAGTTGCCTTCATCAACCAGAGTTGTAAATTCTACATTTATATGGCAGAGGTATGTATATCCATAACATAACACCTCTCAAAATCGTTGCCAAATTAGCGACTGTGTTGCTAAATCGTGTGACTTGTTGTTTCCATTGCGACAGGATCTTGTTAGATCAAGCAACAATATAGCTCATATGCAGATTTGGGAGCGATTGCAGGTCTATAATATGGATCATGTATCAGTTTACTATGTTTTATGCTTGGTAATTAATCTCGTGACATTTGTTTAAGACTTTATAAAGCCTATGTAGTGACGTCTAGTAACTTTTTAAGGTTCGTTTAGCAACTTTCCGCTTCGAGGAGTGGAGGCACTTTACACCCCAACCTCATTGCCATATCTAATTTATCTTGGCCAGGGGTCAGCAACCAAAATAACGAGAAGAGCCATTTTTGTTCGAATTCAGAAAACCACTCAATATTTCAAGAGCCACAATACAGTCCCGAAAGAGCCACATGTGGCGCTGGAAGCTCAGGTTATTGACCTCTGCTCTAGGCGCAGCAGACTTGGAGAAGGGCTTCTGGTTTCCTCTGGAACTAGCACCCAGGGCCCCAATAAGCCTATCGCTGGTCATGATTGCTATATTTTATTCATAGTTTGCCGTGTTTGCGATACATTTTGTCCATGCAGAGAATCCTGACGACAAAGACCACACAGATGGAGCTGCGAAGGCGCAGGATGACCACGATCAGAAGCCGGACAACCCAAGCGACAAACAAAAAGAAGAAGCAGAGAAGGAGAAGAAAGACATTCCACCACAGGAGGCCCAGGACAGCAAGGAAGAAACGCCCAGAAGCAAGGGTGATTAGAAGAGACAGACGGCTACATGACACACAGCCAATGCCTGGACAATACATCTCTCTCCACGCTTTATCAGAAAAATTCCCTGTCTACTACCTACTTTTTGACACATTTAAGCAGTCATATCGCCAACAATATAATTTAACTGAATACAAAATCCTGGATATTTATTTTTGATGTTTACTGTTCGGTAATGGTATATGTTAACAGGTAACAGATATCAGGCATAATTCACATATTGGAAGGGTGTATCTGTAGACCATTCGGACCTGAACTATGATTGATCTGATTTAATTATGTTAACATTCATTTGGGCTTGTGTATGATATACCCTCTTGTGTAAACAGTATAAAATGTAAAATTATAGTTGACAGCTGATTTTTCGGGTGTCTAAGAATGTCTTTATTTACCAAATACACCTCTATATTGATAACATGATAGTCAGATCAATTCTATTTACTTAAAGCTTTTGATGGGCAATGATATTGGTATTTCTTTACAAAATGTATCATTATAGGCATTTAAATCCAGTAATTATATATATTATTTTAACAACACTGATTTTGTTTAATAAAAATATGAATTATAGTTCATAATCAACGTTTTTGGGTTCATGAATTATAGTGGCTGAACTGAAATGTAGAGAAAATGGTTTTAATATTTTAAATGTCGCCTAACACAATTTAATACTTTATGTACTGAAAACATACAATAAAAATATGGGCACTATTTATGGTGGGGGAATACAAATATAATTTTTTGTTTACTATTTTGTTTACTATATATATGAATGTATGATGCACATGTTTAGGCTTCGTAAAAATGTTTTCACTTTATCGTAGAAATAAAAAGTTGCACGTTTATTTCTTAAATAATTTATTTAATAAATGTTGTACCATGGGGATTCATTATCATTTGTAATTATAAAGGCTAACAACAGGCAGCAGAGTACATCGTAATTATGGTTTCACATACATTCAAATTCTTTTGTGGCATAGATAATGACTAAAATACGAATTTATAGCGTGCTCTGTCAATCCAGCCACTGAATGGATGCGTTTCCCATGCTGTGTCGGTCATGGGGATTGTTTGACCATACTTTACTGTGTTGATGAGAACGGGATGGTGAAGAGTGGGGCAAGGACCTGTTTAGAAATATATCGCCTTCCGCTAACATTCGCCATGACCAGGAATTAAACTCAAGTTCTTTTGGCTCATCGCGAAGTACGCTAACCAGTGCACCACCACTCCACTCAAAAGATATGTGGCAATACAATAATGCCAAAGAACACAATGCATAATCTAATACAGTACAGTCAATACTGTATATTGCAGTATTATTTCTACGCCCAAATATAGAATATCTGCAAAAAACATATACTGCAATACAAAGTATAGTAACACCCGATGTAAGTCTACCCCTTTTTACGTCGTTTTGCCAATACGTCGGCACTTTAATAAAACCGTTACCAAGATCCGCAACATAAACCGGGTATTGCTGTGCATGTAATATGTTTGTATATTTTTAAGCACACAATTATATGGGCAAACCCCTGTGGTGCGTTGGTAATGTTTGACTACGTGAGTGGCACGAAGCATGTAGCTGAAAGTCAATTGCAGTGAGTCAGAAGCATTGCAAAGTTTAGCGTTTAGTGTTACTTGAGCAACAATTATTTAATTACATTTACGCTCATGGTAACCATGGATGTGTATACAATACCGTGCCGCTTGCACAACACAACCCACACATTTGAATTACCCGCAACCACATATAGCCCGAGCAGCTTGTTAAAACAAAAATAAATACAACTGCTGCATGATGAAATTAATATCTGCGTGAAAGAATATTACATTTTCTCTCGAGATATATTTTTTGCAGACATTGGTATTACATTCAGTGATAAATGAAGTTTATTTGCATGAGTAGATGTGATATATTTTGGGTGTATTTACATCATTGCTGTGCAGTAACTGTAATTGGTGCTTTTTAACACGTAGGCTTTCGCGACCAATATTATTAATAATATAGGTTTTTGGGTCAGATCGCGTTATTTATGAAGCTGATTGTAATTATCAGCGAAACGTCGTACTCAAATTTCAAAATGCTGTTGATTCTCTCTTCAGCACACCGGTGGGCTAAAGAAGTGAATTATTTTGTCCTTTGAAAAAACGTGACACATGTTTTACTGTTTGGCCGTGTCGGGTGGTGGAGGGTTACGACACATTTATAAATAACGCGATCTGACCCAAAAACCTGTATTATGTATAATTGGTGCTGTTGATATATTGCTAAACACGCTTTTAAATGTCGTAGAAGTCACCACATACTAATGATACATATGATGACTAACCACATCAATCGTTACACGACATAAGGCCCTAATTTGACAACGCAACATTTTCCGGAATGTATGGCGAGTTGTTTTGTAAGATTGCAAATAAAAATGACAAAACACTATAAAAGTAACGCAACTTTTTCATACATGTAATAGAGCTACAAAGGCTTTGCTCTGCAAACAATGTCAGCTAAAAATATATGCATCGGTATGGTTTTTGGGAGGTTTCGAGACGTTACTCAGATGTTTCATGTTTGTAGTGAATGATGAAAAACTAACAATTTTACGTAATATGCAACAACAAAAACCCCACAGCGCTCAAATGATCGTGGGATTCCAATATCTCGAACCTGGCACCAGAATGAGCACACTTCAGCAATATCTGGAGGTGACAACTTAACACGATGAGTCGTGGCCTCTGCACCTTGGCATACAAACTCTCTCTTATCCTATTCGGCACCAGATCTCCTCACTCCCCACATACTGCAACAAAATCCCCTCCGACCAGGCCCCCAAGGGGCCGTCCATAAATGACGTCACGCACCTAGGGGGGGGGGGTGAGAAATGTGACGTCACATAAAAATTCGCAACTTTAAATAAATATAAACAACACGTTCTACTTAATTTAATAGACTTTTTAATAAATGCTTTCTCCTACAACATCAGAGTGCAGCGCCACATTAAATACGCACTACAATGACAATAGTGTTAAAGCGATTTGAAGCATGTTTATATATTTTTTTGGGGGGGCAGTGCTTTGTGACGTCACATTTGAGGGGGGAGGGTCTGACTTTTTGTGACGTTGTGTGACGACGGGGGGGGGGGGCGGTCAAAAATCGCCCAAAATCGCGTGACGTCATTTATGGACGGCCCCCAAAGTCCCAAAACTTTTCGCACTCGAACCTCCAAATCTCCGATCCGGAGGGCAAAATCCTCGGACCTGACACCAGAACTTGGCATCACCGTTGGGAGGGTAAACACCCTCTGATGTGGCACCTCCTCATGCACGCTCCGGTCGCTGGCACGCTGCAGGCGCGTTGAAGATCTCCCTGTCTCCCTGTCCCCCTGTCCCCTGTCTCCCTGTCCCCCTGTCCCACTGCCCCCCAGTGCTCTGTGAGTCCTGCCCCCCCCCATGTCTCTGCAGGAGGCGGACGCGTGCCTACGGGAGAGGCGGCTCGGCCGTGCTGAGGAGCTCTACACGGGGCTGCTGGCCCGGCGCGATCGCCTCTGGTGAGAGGGGGACACGCCATGGGGTGGGGAGACACGGGGGGTGGGGAGACACGGGGGGTGGGGAGACACGGGGGGTGGGGAGACACGGGGGGGTGGGGAGACACGGGGGGTGGGGAGACACGGGGGGTGGGGAGACACGGGGGGGGGGGAGACACGGGGGGGGGGGGGGACACGGGGAGACACTGGGGGGACACCGTGAGACACGGGGAGACACGGGGAGACACGGGTGAGACACGGGGAGACACTGGGAGACACGGTGAGACACTGGGAGACACGGTGAGACACGGGGAGACACTGGGAGACACGGGTGAGACACGGGGAGACACTGGGAGACACGGTGAGACACGGGGAGACACTGGGAGACACGGGGAGACACGGGTGAGACACGGGGAGGCACTGGGCGACACGGTGAGACACCGGGAGACACGGGGAGACACGGGTGAGACACGGGGAGACACTGGGAGACACGGTGAGACACTGGGAGACACGGTGAGACACCGGGAGACACTGGGGGGACACGGGGAGACACGGGTGAGACACGGGAGACACGGGTGAGACACGGGGAGACACTGGGAGACACGGTGAGACACGGGGAGACACTGGGAGACACGGTGAGACACGGGGAGACACGGGGAGACACGGGTGAGACACGGGGAGACACTGGGAGACACGGTGAGACACTGGGAGACACGGTGAGACACGGGGAGACACTGGGAGACACGGGTGAGACACGGGGAGACACTGGGAGACACGGTGAGACACGGGGAGACACTGGGAGACACGGGGAGACACGGGTGAGACACGGGGAGACACTGGGAGACACGGTGAGACACTGGGAGACACGGGGAGACACGGGTGAGACACGGGGAGACACTGGGAGACACGGTGAGACACTGGGAGACACGGTGAGACACCGGGAGACACTGGGGGGACACGGGGAGACACGGGTGAGACACGGGGAGACACGGGTGAGACACGGGGAGACACTGGGAGACACGGTGAGACACGGGGAGACACTGGGAGACACGGTGAGACACGGGGAGACACGGGGAGACACGGGTGAGACACGGGGAGACACTGGGAGACACGGTGAGACACTGGGAGACACGGTGAGACACGGGGAGACACTGGGAGACACGGGTGAGACACGGGGAGACACTGGGAGACACGGTGAGACACGGGGAGACACTGGGAGACACGGGGAGACACGGGTGAGACACGGGGAGACACTGGGAGACACGGTGAGACACTGGGAGACACGGGGAGACACGGGTGAGACACGGGGAGACACTGGGAGACACGGTGAGACACTGGGAGACACGGTGAGACACCGGGAGACACTGGGGGGACACGGGGAGACACGGGTGAGACACGGGGAGACACGGGTGAGACACGGGGAGACACTGGGAGACACGGTGAGACACGGGGAGACACTGGGAGACACGGTGAGACACGGGGAGACACGGGGAGACACGGGTGAGACACGGGGAGACACTGGGAGACACGGTGAGACACTGGGAGACACGGTGAGACACGGGGAGACACTGGGAGACACGGGTGAGACACGGGGAGACACTGGGAGACACGGTGAGACACGGGGAGACACTGGGAGACACGGGGAGACACGGGTGAGACACGGGGAGACACTGGGAGACACGGTGAGACACTGGGAGACACGGGGAGACACGGGTGAGACACGGGGAGACACTGGGAGACACGGTGAGACACTGGGAGACACGGTGAGACACCGGGAGACACTGGGGGGACACGGGGAGACACGGGTGAGACACGGGGAGACACGGGTGAGACACGGGGAGACACTGGGAGACACGGTGAGACACGGGGAGACACTGGGAGACACGGTGAGACACGGGGAGACACGGGGAGACACTGGGAGACACGGTGAGACACGGTGAGACACGGTGAGACACTGGGAGACACGGTGATACACTGGGAGACACGGGTGAGACACCGGGAGACACTGGTGAGACACGGGGAGACACGGGTGAGACACGGGTGAGACACGGGGAGACACTGGGAGACACTGGGAGACACGGTGAGACACGGGGAGACACGGGGAGACACTGGGAGACACGGGGAGACACGGGGAGACACGGTGATACACTGGGAGACACGGGTGAGACACCGGGAGACACTGGTGAGACACGGGGAGACACGGGTGAGACACGGGTGAGACACGGGGAGACACTGGGAGACACGGGTGAAACACGGGGGAGACACGGGTGAGACACGGGGAGACACGGGTGAGACACGGGTGAGACACGGGTGAGACACTGGGAGACACGGTGATACACTGGGAGACACGGGTGAGACACCGGGAGACACTGGTGAGACACGGGGAGACACGGGTGAGACACGGGTGAGACACGGGGAGACACTGGGAGACACGGGTGAAACACGGGGGAGACACGGGTGAGACACGGGGAGACACGGGTGAGACACGGGTGAGACACGGGTGAGACACTGGGAGACACCGGGAGACACTGTGAGACACGGGTGAGAAACGGGTGAGACACGGGGAGACACCGGGAGACACTGGGGAGACACCGGGAGACACTTGGGGGACACCAGGATACACTGGGGAGACACCGGGAGACACGGTGAGACACTGGGGAGACACGGGTGAGACACGGGTGAGACACGGGGAGACACTGGGAGACACGGGTGAGACACGGGGGAGACACGGGTGAGACACGGGGAGACACGGGTGAGACACGGGTGAGACACTGGGAGACACCGGGAGACACTGTGAGACACGGGTGAGAAACGGGTGAGACACGGGGAGACACGGTGAGACACCGGGAGACACTTGGGGGACACCAGGATACACTGGGGAGACACCGGGAGACACGGTGAGACACTGGGGAGACACTGGGGAGACACGGTGAGACACCGGGAGACACTTGGGGGACACCAGGATACACTGGAGAGACACCGGGAGACACTGGGAGATACGGGGAGACACTGGGGAGACACGGGGAGACACCGGGAGACACTTGGGGGACACCAGGATACACTGGGGAGACACTGGGAAGACACTGTGAGACACTGGGGGGACACCAGGATACACTGGGGAGACACCGAGAGACACTGGGAGACACGGGGAGACACCGGGAGACACTGGGGGGACACCGGGAGACACTGGGGGGACACCGGGAGACACTGGGGGGACACCGGGAGACACTGGGGGGACACCGGGAGACACGGGTGAGACACAGGGAGACACAGTGAGCCGCAGGAAGACACTGGGAGACACGGGTGAGCCACCGGGAGACACGGGGAGACACTAAGGAGACACTGGGGAGACACCGGGAGACACAGTGAGCCACCGGGAGACACCGCTGAGACACGGTGAGACACTGGGGAGACACAGTGAGGCACGGGGAGACAGTGAGACACGGTGAGACACCGGGAGACACCTGGAGACACGGGTGAGACTCATGAGGTGACACCAGGAGACATGCCGGAAGACGCCGGGAGAGTCGCAGAGTTAATGCTGTGGGCGTCCCCGAGACCTCGTGCTCGTCACAGGAGGTTCCCATTCAGTCAGACTCCACAAACCCCGCGCTCAATCGTTTCCGTGTCTGTTGTGTGGGAATGTCGCCGAGAAGCGCCTCACTCGCACGCCATGTGCGATTGCTCTGTATTCACGATGCCACGTGTGGCCATTAGATGGCAGTGCAGCAAGGGATTTAAATATATCAGCTGTGGACATCGCTTTCAACATTCGCCATCCCATCCTGAATGCACGGTGGGTTTTAATCCAGTTTACTCAAACGCAAAGCCAAAAGTTGTTGAATCGGAATTGGGAAAACATCCAAACCCAGGGCCCTCCTCGAAACGTGTTGAGACTTGGTGAAGCTTTCCTGGGTTAAAGAGGCACTATTGTGTTATGGAACCATTCATATTTATTCATCACATCCAGGTGACAGTAATTTGAAGTGCGTGTTATATTGATCAGAAATTAGTGGTAAGTTTGGCGAAAGTCACGTGTAAGTTGTAAGCTGGCTACGAGTAGCTGATGGACAATAAGTATAACCAGTAAAAACAAAGTTTTTCACTATAAATCCTTTATATGCGTGGCGGCTAGAGTCCTCTCGTCCTCTGGCTTGAGATGGCTGCCACCTATGGGTCAGATGATTGCATTGCACCATTAAGCAATTGGTAATTAAATATATTTTTGTCCTAAAAAGTGTAAAATTTTGGAAAAAATTTTCACGAACATTAATTGTCACGCACAACGAGTCTGTGTGGAAAATGTCAGCACGATTGGATCACGGGAAGTGGGTTAAAAAACGACCGAAAGATTTGCACGGTCCTAAGCAAGCAAGCGAACTTAATATAACGGATTTAAAAACAAACAGCAATCGCGGCAACATTGAAACTGGTAACATCAGGTTCAACCATGCATTGCTGCATAATTCAATCTTGCTGTCAGATGAAATAAAGAAATTAACGACATTTTACTGGTTGTGTTTCTGACATAGCAAAGAAGATTGCGCTGTCGCCTTGAACAACCGAGGGCAGATCAAGTACCTGCGCGTGGACTTTTATGAAGCAATGGACGACTACACACAGGCCATTGAGTGCAACAAGGACTTCCCCATTCCTTACTACAACAGGGGCCTTATTCTCTACAGGCTAGGTATTGCCCATGTCAGCAGAACATAACCAGAGTCCAGTTGAACGTGGTAGCTTACTCATTATATTTGTCATTAACTTTGACACCATGCCTCGGAGTGATAGTAAAACATTTTGCAGAAAAGTGTCCGATGCCACCACTGTTTGTGCATATGAGTTGGGGGACTTTAAATTGACCCTTGAGACGCCGATTTGTCAACTATCAATACATTTATAGAAAGCCAGAATTGCATCTTATTGTATACTGTACTGTCAAAAAGGTGAGTGCTGTCAGTAGACAGCACACAGCACTATGAAACCAGTGACCTGGATTTGATTCCCAGGCATCACTTACAAGTGACTCTGCAGCCATTCCTCGGACTTCCCCCCACAACCAACCCATATTGACCAGTGTTAAGTATGGTCAAACAGTCCACATGATTTGATACGCTGGGGGAGGCCTTGATCCAGCAACGGATTGAAGGGCTGTAGTTGTTTTTATTAAAAAGGGAAGTGTTGTATCATTGTGGAACCAAATGTTTGACATTGAGGTTAACGTGTTGATATTTTTAAATGGTTTATTTTAGGGTTTTTTGATGACGCAATCAAGGATTTTCACAAGGCTGTTGAACTCAATCCAGCATTTGAAGATGCTCGAACAAGTCTCAAACAAGCTGCCTGGGACAAAGAAGCAAAGCAAGCCAGAGGTTACTGATACTACGAATTTGAAAATGGAGAGTAAATGTAATATTTTTTTACATTTTTAATCAAACTGTCAGTGTTTATTGTTGATTACAGTAGTAATTGTATATGGCCAAATCAAGATGTTATGAACGTGTATTTCATAACCATTTTCATAAGCATTGTAAATTGTAATATATTAATGGCACATTAAGGGGCATATTCATGTACACGTTTATCCATAATTCTTTGTATTTAACCAAAAGATATAATTTAATACATTCACAAGGAGCTTTCATGTAATTAAGCATAGTACTTTCACAGCATGTTATATTTGCAAAATAAATTATTTATTCAACACAATGTAGTCAGAACACGTTTTGATTGCAACACACGATGTTAGAAACATTCTGCATGTGAGACGCTATGAAAATATACTGTCCCATCATAATTTACAAACAAGGGACTGCTACATGTTTTACTTTTGTCTATTATAAATTTAATGACATAATGCCATTAACAAAATTGCACACGAAAGAGAAATAGGCATTTCCTTGAAAAATTGCACCGCAAAGCTGTTACGTTATACAATAAGAATGCCTTCTCGGGTCTGTACTGTGGGGAAGCTATACCGGTTAGGCAAGATCTTAGAAATGCATAACTGGAACGCGATGCAAATAAACAAGACTGAACATGAAGATACATGCAAGGCTGTTAGAAATCCAAGTATACTTAAACGAGAAAAGATTGAAATAGTCTTTGAACCACACTGCTATTGCACATTGAACGTTATCCGTCAGTTCAAACTAAGCACATGCACATCACATACGTTGTTAGTGGGCAGTAATAACAATCCGCACGAACAAATGAAATCAATATGAAAGAATTTACCAGTCTTTCAATTGTATCGTGTTTGAATATTCTGGAATGCTTTCTGGGAGTCCCTTGTCTGGACTCAAATCTGAGCTGGCTATGAGATACTGGTCCAATGTCATCTCCGCACATCGTGCAATGAAGCGTATGAAAGGTCGCACGTCCCCATCATTCCCAGCTTGCAGCGCAGTGTAGTATTCAGCGCGTTGTTCTTTGCGGATGGTGACTGGCGGATACCCGGCCTGCATGAGAATGAGGTTCATGAGGAGACGTGACGTTCGCCCGTTGCCGTCTACAAACGGGTGCACGTACACCAGCCTGTAGTGCGCCAGCGCCGCAAACTCTATCGGGTGCAGGGTTAGCGCTTCTTCGGAGTTCAGCCACTGCGTGAATTGTCCCATGTGCCTCTCCACTTCGCGCGGCTCTGGAGGCAGATGGCTCCCAACGAAGACGCGTGATCGGCGAAAGTAGCCAGCCTCTATGGGATCCACGTGGCCCAGCACTCGCCGGTGGATCTCCAGGATATCGGTGGTAGTGATTGAGCCGATGCGGTTGATGAGCGAGGCGTTCATGTACTTCATGGCAGCGTCGATGCCCAAAACTTCGTTCTGCTCGGCGAGGCTTTTTCCATAGACTGCGTAACGTGTCTCAACAATGTGCTTGATTTCTGAGAGTGTTAGTGTGTTGCCCTCGAGTGCTACCGTGTGATGGATGTGATGGTAATAGCTCTCCTCCATCACTCGCCGTAAGGCTCCGTCCCACTTGGGGATGAGCAAAAGCTTCTTGACCTGCACATACAACAGCCGTCAAAGTAAACTAATTATTTCAAAGCATCTATACAATTACATTTTAAGCATTACTAGCTGTACTATTTTGATGACGATATAAGCGAGTGCCAGGAAAGCACAGTAATTTAAATCACCAACACTTGATAGAAATATCAGTCAAAACTAATTTTGGTTGAAAATGCATGCAAACTCAAGTTGAAAAAGAGTGCTCAAAATTGAATGTTATGTGCCAGTGATTATTCCACAAGTAAACACAAATTTTGGATAAGATTTAGTATCCACTTGCACCAAACAGCAGCAACTGCTCTTCACCTTGCTGTCGATGATGGCGTAGCGACGCTGGTCGATCTCTTCCACGAGGGGCGAGGTTCGCCCGCGGTTGCTAAGCGCTTGCAAATGACAGGGCATGAGTGCGAGTGCACGGTTAAACATGTGGTCCGCCTGCACCACGTTTTCATCCTCCTCCAGGAAGAGGCCGTACTCATTGAGAGCATCTGGAAAGTCAGGATCGAGACGCAAGCAGTGCTGGAAGAGGCGCCGTGCCTTGTCGCGCTTGCCTTGTCGCTTCATCTCCAAAGCCTGGTGCAGTGATGCTTGAGCTTCCAGCCTAATGTCTGTCCATGCAAATAACACACGTTATCAGTGGGGTTAGCTATCGAGTGTACAGGCAAATCCACTCTCTGGCCCATGGCCCTCTGGCCCATGAGCCATGGGCCAGAGGCCTAAACACCAGGCTACAAAGATAAAGGAAACGGATCAGGGGTCCTATTTATTGCACCAGGGCCCATAACCAAACCATCACACCACTGCATGTTATATACAGTATGCTATGGCTTTACACAATTGTTTAGTAAACTACAATAATAGGAAACACATCAGGATACCCTGAGTGGTTAGATACTGAACACAGTTCAAACATTTGAAATGTGCAAGTTATGCTTTGTGGCCATATTAAAACAAACAGGTTTTTTTATTTCAATTCACGTAATTAAGAGATCAGATAAATGTTGTAAATTGATAAAAAAAATCTCAACTATTTCGAAGTAATAATGAATGATATAATTTTCAAATTAAACATTTTTTTGTTAAGATTCTGACTGCCACAATGGCCAAATTAACTTACACAACTGTAATAATCAACTTCCAAAAACGAATTACCAGACTACATTAAGATTGAACACAACAACGTAGTGTGATTAATGTATGACTACGTGAGAAGCATGAGGCAAAACTGACGCTCATGTTTAAAGTATTGCTACAGTATACTGTACCTAGAATACTTAGCATTAATCTGACCAGCAGAGATAACTTTTGACTTATAACTTTTGTGACTGCAGGAATTCATATTCTTTGGTTCTTTCGATAAAGTCACTTTATTTTATTATAATTTTTCTATCTATGTGACTTTACCGAAATAACCAAAGAATACAGAGACAACGTGTTAGTAATTTTAAACAAGGTCTGTAACACAACCAAACCAAATAGTGTGCAGTACTTCGAATATTTATGGGAATGTAGTGATAATTATTGAGGCTGGTTAGAATTTGAAAGGATTATTTAATCATTGCCAATTATTTAGCAGGAAAGCCTGAGTATTCCGACTATTTAGGAGGGGCCTACATTTGGATATTTGATCAATTCCACACCTTCAGCCTGACATCTACAAAACCTGCTTATCTTTGCAAGCAAAATAATTGACCGTAAAAAAACTCCAATATGAAGTCATGGTATCGATACAATATTGGTCACTCGCTATCTAAAAGGTCGCTGTTAAAAGGTTCCCTTATGTTGCCCACTGCTGAGCAGTGACAATACCCGGGCCATCAGCACCGTGACGTGGGTGAGGTATAAGTCAATAAATGAGCTGGCACAACCGGAGGGCATTTGTGCGTCACCGCTGCTGTCTACCAATCACAGGGTGACAAGTGAGACGAAACAACGCAACGGAAACTCTTGGCAATGACGTGGAGTGGAATGTAAAACACGACGACAAATATTCCACTCATTTACATTCGGGCACATTTGTCTAACCTGCTGTTGCCACAAATAAAACAAAGTCACCAATACAGAAACATCCTTTTTACGCTCTACTATTAACAAGGACCATTTTCCAAAACATTAACTTTCCTACGGTATGTGAAATGTTATACAATTGCCTCACATTCCGACGGAATTACACTAAGAACGAGGAAGCGTATGATGTTTGAGAAAACGTCTCAAGTCGAGGCAGCGTGGCGACTGCTTTAGAGAAGCGGGGCTTGGGGCCATGACAGGTCACAGCTACACATTGGTGGTCGAGACAAGCGACGGATTGGCAGCCAAAGGAGGGAACACGCCCGGGAGGACGTCCACCGTGGAGACGGAGCAGTGACAGCGGCTGGTGGCCACGAGCTTCAATGATTATTAACATCGCGGAACCGGGAGAGATGGCAACCGCTTGAATACGCCGTTACAGAGCGGTGGTTACAGAGTACAATATTGACAAATTATTGAGATTACTGGACTATATTAGGACAAACTAGAGTGGCCTTAAGCGAGGTGCTCGTGTTTCAATATTCAAAAAAGGTTACAGCGGGGCTAATTAATCTCTGTGCTGACAATTCCACATTGCCATGGCGGGAGTCAGACTAGAGACATCCATGGGGAAACCAATGTTGAGCCACCTACCGCTGCTTCTCGCCCCCCCCCCCCCCCAACATAAACTGTACCAGGAGAGGTCTTGGGTTTTTCTGTCGCAGGCCAGCTCCAACCTCCTGCTCCAGCTTCCACCGCTCCATCTCCTCCGACACCGAGACCCAGAGGCAGCCTCATCACCAGCCCCAACAGCGCCGTGGTGGTGGTGGTCGCATACTCGGGCCGGCCACCGCACGCGTCCACGTGCGTGGCCCGGCCACTGCCACCTCCTCCTCCTCCACCTCCACCCAGGATACACCGGAGCGGACGAAGCTTTGGCCCCAGGGGCAGCAGCAGTAGAAATAGGAGCAGGAGCAGCCCAAGGCCCGCGGCGGGCAGCCACCCGGGCCGCGCCGGGCAGGACCTCAACACCCACAGCGACATGGGGACGGGGATGACGGCAACGACGGGAGGCCTGGGCACATGGCGCGGACCTCTGCTGCCGTGGTATCCCCGCCTCCTCCTTCTCCTCTCACCACTAAGCCCTCGTGTGTCTCCGCCTCCTCCTCTCACCACTAAGCCCTCGTGTGTCGCCGCGTTCCACTCGGCCGCGTCTCTCTCCTCGATGGCTCCGTGGTTCATGGGGCGGTGGAGGGGCGGTGGAGGGCGTGAGAGGCAATCGATTCGATTCCAACCGCGTGCGGGAGGAAATGAATCGATTCGGTTGATTTCGTCAACGTGGTCGTCCGTCTGTACGCGAAAATGAGCTTCAATAAACACGCGGAATTGTGACTTTTGTTGGCGAAATATCGTTACCTGCATGAACGATGGGAGGCGCAGGGACAGACGTTCGATCACGACGTTTCGATCGCAACACAAGCAGTCGTCATCAGGTGGGACAACCACAGCAAGAATAAGTAAACCCGTAAAAACAAAGTTTTTCACTCTAAATCCTTTATATGCGTGGCGGCTTGAGTCCTCTCGTCTTCTGGCTTGAGATGGCTGCCACCTATGGGTCAGATGATTGTCTGCCACCATTAAGCAATTGGTAATTAAATATTTAATTTGTTTTCCCTAAACAGTGTAAAATTTTTGAAAATGTTTTTCACTAACATTAATTGTCTCGCACAACGAGTCTGTGTGCAAAATGTCAGCTCGATTGGATCACGGGAAGTGGGTTAAAAAACGAGCGAAAGATTTGCACGGTCGTAAGCAAGCACGCAAGCAAGCAAGCGAACTTAATATAAAGGATTTAAAAAAACCTGCTTCTTGCTGTGGTTGTCCCACCTGATGACGAGTGCTTGTGTTGCGATCGAAACGTCGTGATCTATTATTTTTATACCTACGTGGCTTTACCGAGAGAACCAAAGAGTAATTGTCCTGATATTCTTAGGTTTTTTCGGTAAAGTCACGTAGGTAATAAAAAATAATAAAAATAAAATAAAAATCACGACGTTTTCGGAGGCTTGTAAATTACTTGATATCGTGCTGTGACGGTTCCACCTGAAGACGGAAGCTTGTGTTGCCTCCGAAACGTCGTGATTTTTATTTTATTTTATTAATTTAAATTTTTTTACCTACGTGACTTTACCGAAAAAACCTAAGAATATGAATCCTTGCAGTCACGAAAGCTTCAAATCTAGAAGTAATTGTGTTATTGACAACCGTGTCGAGTTTCATGTTGATCACGGTGCCTGTGCTGCACTCACTGCCCACCCCAACGCGCCGTCAAAAATGTATGAATTTATAACGGGCGACGTTTCGGGCAACTGGCCTCTCACACTTGGCTGAGAGGCTAACGTAGATTAAGCCCCGCCACGGCACTGGCTTGCTTAATCTAAGTTGTCTTGTGGTTGTTGTTGGTTGTTTGACTTGCATCCCACTGGGATTTGTGCACACAGCGTTGGTGTGTAACGGTGTTTTTTCTGCAATATGTTGCTGTCTTTTCTTGGATTTTCTGTTTGCACTCAGTCACATATTCACTTGAGGATGTTTTTTTGTTCATGTTTTTGTTTTTTGTTTGTTGCGGTTGCACCCGATTCAAGAGCCGAATGGCTCACAGGGCTACACCTAATAAATGAACTTGAAACTTGCTTAGGCAGACACGTGGAGATTTTAGAAAGTTTTGGGGGGAAATTACCGGACGCTATGTTGCGATAATGAACACTTACAGGCACGTCTGGATTAAAATTTTAAAAAACCCCAAAAGAGCTTTGTGGCTCATCGGATTCCTCCAGCCCGGGCACCCCCCACGGAGAAGTCTGGACACCAAAACGTTGCCCCGCCATGCGGCCACTTGAGATCGGACGACCACCGCCCCGAGGCGCTTAATCGATGGCGACTGGAATCGTTTCGCGCGACACCGGAATCGCCTCGCGGGGTAGGGGTGGAGGGGTGTGACGGGGGGGGGGGGTGGGAGGGGTGTGACGGGGGGGGTGACGGGGGGGGGGTGTGTGACGGGGGGGGTGTGACGGGGGGGGGTGTGACGGGGGGGGGTGTGACGGGGGGGGGGGTGACGGGGGGGGGGGGTGTGACGGGGGGGGGGGTGACGGGGGGGGTGTGTGACGGGGGGGTGTGACGGGGGGGGTTGTGACGGGGGGGGGGTGTGACGGGGGGGGTGTGACGGGGGGGGGGTGTGACGGGGGGGGGGAGGTGTGACGGGGGGTGTGACCGGGGGGTGACGGGGGGGGGTGTGACGGGGGGGGGTGTGACGGGGGGGGTGTGACGGGGGGGGGTGTAACGGGGGGGGGGGAGGTTGTGACGGGGGGGGGGGTGAAGGGGGGGGTGTGACGGGGGGGGGGTGTGACGGGGGGGGGGGGGGGGTAATTTCTGGGGGGTGGGAGGGGTGTGACGGGGGGGGGGGTGTGACGGGGGGGGGGTGTGACGGGGGGTGTGACGGGGGGCTGTGTGACGGGGGGGGGGTGTGACCGGGGGGGTGTGACGGGGGGGGGGGGTGTGACGGGGGGGAGTGTGACGGGGGGGGTGGGAGGGAGTGTGACGGGGGGTGGGGGGTGTGACGGGGGGGGGGTGTGACGGGGGGGTGTGACGGGTGGGGTGTGACGGGGGGGGGTGTGACGGGGGGGGGGGTGTGACGGGGGAGGGTGTGACGGGGGGGGGTGTGACGGGGGGGGTGACGGGGGGGGTGTGACGGGGGGGGTGTGACAGGGGGGGGGGTGTGACGGGGGGGGTGTGACGGGGGGGGGTGACGGGGGGGGTGTGACGGGGGGGGGGTGGACGGGGGGGGGTGTGACGGGGGGGGGTGACGGGGGGGTGACGGGGGGGGTGTGACGGGGGGGGTGACGGGGGGGGGTGTGACGGGGGGGGGTGACGGGGGGTGTGACGGGGGGGGGTGTGACGGGGGTGGGGCGTCACGTGACCCGGAACGCGCGCGCGGAACCGGATATTGCGTCACTTGACCCGGAAGCGAACGCGTGACCCTCGTGCGCCAGCTGGGAGCTTCACCACCGACCGCGCGTGCGTCACTTGGGTGAGCGTGGGGCGCTCGGCGCGGGAACGGCGAATTTACCGCCTTAAAACGGCCATGAACTAATAACAATGATAATCATTGAAAACGGCCTCTTGGGTGCAGAGTGGCTCGTCGTTTACATGAGCCAAGTTGCTCGCGTTGACGATGTTGCTGTTGCCTCTGTAGCCGAGGAGACACCGGCGGGGAGGCCTTGCTCCACGCGTGTTTGCGGATCCGCCGACACTTTGGCGGATAAATGTCACGGGCTCTGCTTTGGGGGCTTTCTTTATCAATTCATACTTTGACCTGTGTGTTTTTTTAATGCAGATGGTTACTTGTAGTACAGAGACCACTTAGTGATTTTGACGAGGCTTGTGACCAAATCTCCCCGAATGCGCCAGAACGTGAAGGCGTTTGCGGGGCTGAGTGGATAGTGCTCGGATAGGCGACCACGACGCGGGCGGCTAACGTGGTGGGCAACAAGAGGAGGATTCAGAAAAATCAAACGCTTTGGCCTTCCGTGGTCCCCGCCATCCACCAAACCGCAGTGGGCAGCCTATGGCCAAATAAACGCGTACGGCGTGAGAGGAGCGGATTGACAAAACGGAAGATGCTGCCACGTTTTCACAGTAGGGGGCGATGTTGGCCAGTACCTTGATACATTCTACGTCTATACTGGTAGGAACCTCCTGGTTCCACCAGCCCACAGGGGATTATTGTGTCTGTCCGTCGTGCATCTAAAAATGGGTGGGGAGGGTGGAAGGTGGGAGGGGTGGGGCTGGGTGGGGAGGGGCTGGTCACCCCGTGGTGCCCTTATAAAACTCAACGTTTAACCTACTCACGCCGGCTTGTGCCCGCCCTCACAGTCGGCCATATTTGCCGAATACACCACGCCGCCGTTGACCCTGACCATTGACCCAACGTTCCTACCAGCTCCCTCCGCAGGAATGTGTTTAGCTGTGGCAAGGACACCAATGCAGAAACAGGGGGAGAACATACAAATTCTATTGTCGGGAATCGAACCCTGCTGTGAGGCACAATTCAGCTGTTTACTGCATTCCAGCTGTTTACTAAACAAACTGATCGATCACATCTGGAATCGCCCCGATGCAAAGTATGTTTATCCCAGAGTCAATTTGTTGTAATTTTGTCGCTCGGGAAATACCAGAAGTCGCTAGAATCTAACTTTACAACACCGACATTACCAAGGAAATGTGGAATTTGTACCCTTTGCTGAAGGGCTAATGCTGATTAGTCCCACACGAGACTCGCTTGGTTCGGGAGACACGTGGAGATTAAGAAACATTAGAAATGACCGGCAATTGTTGCAATTATCACTTATAGCCACTAGAGGGAGCGTTACGACTATACCTTGCCTGATGCATTCAATCTGTTAAAACGGTGTCATATATATTTTCTTTAACTTTCAAAAAATCTAAATTTACTGTTGTACAATACTTTATTGCATATAATGTGCAGCCGAATCATATATTCAGATATTAGAATGGATATATGTTTATGCTATTTTTGTTGCAGTCACATGGATTCTAACAAGGATGCACAACCAGCAAAACAACAACCGATGATTTACATTTGTGGAGGTATGAAGTTAACAGCAGCAGTACTTTGTACCATTTTCCCTGCTTTTGTAAGTGTTATTGTTTGCAACCAACTTGACTGTCTTGTAATTTTTACAGAGTGCCATACCGAAAATGAAATTAAGGCGAGGGATCCGATCCGATGCCGAGAGTGTGGATACAGGATAATGTACAAGAAAAGAACCAAAAGATGTATCCTTTTTTAACTGCTCAATGTATTTTTGTTTGTGCAATGGCTTTCCGAGTGGGGTAGTTTGCAATCGCAATGCAGTGTCGTAAATGTGGCAGTGCTATTTTGCAAATTCATGGCTCATGTGTTGACATCAGTACGAATGGCAAATATGAAATACATTTTCCTTGACTGCTTGTACAGTGGTTGTGTTTGATGCACGTTGAGCGCAATGTCAAGGAGACGTCTGGATTTCAATGGCTGTCGACAGAAGTTATGTTTTTTTGTGTGGATGCCAGATGCGGTCCGTTATTTTTCTTTCCTGTAGTATTTGCGTGAATAAAAGTTTTGTTGTAAATCTTGTACTTTTGTTTAATCGGTTATATTGAATGTGTATTCTCACGTTTTACTACATTTTACAAAATAAGCAAACTTAGTTTTTCGAATGAAGATTACATGAAGGTTTTCTCAGCAGTTTCAGGCGTTGATTTAGGATTGGTTAATATGCTAGTTGCAGTCTGCATTGTATATGAAACCACTGCTTTAAACCAGATGCCTTATAATAAACGTTTTGCAGAACAAATTTTGCGCTTCTCACTTTTGTAGAAGATCCCACTTTGTATGTTTTATTGTACAGTAAAACCTCTCAACCCGACTAAGTGGGGGGGGGGACACCCTTTCCAGTTATGGAAGATGTTCGGCACACTGCAATTACTCAATTGTAATCACATTTTATCATAATACCGAACACATTTAATTTACACTTAAAATTGTATTACAAATAACACTACAATACAGGCTGAGTCATAACCATGAAACAGAGGTAGATAACTGATTTCTAATCTTAAGCTAATTCTCAGGCTTTATTTTTTTGTAAAATGAGAGCGGCTCATCCACATGCTTTTCTGGGGCTATGTTCATGTGCACGGGCTAATCGAATTCCATTCAACACGAGTGCATCTTTAGAATGGCGAGTACACATACACCATCTACCACGTGGTGTGCAATTGGTGCGCGAACAGTGTTGCGATCGAAGCTTTTTGGGTTTACCATTTACTTAGCCATCATGCTTTACCCATAATCCTGGCTTCAGTTGAGCTTTGGGGTTTTTAACTGTACGGGATTACCATTCGACCTATCGCAGGCAATCTGTACGCTGTATACCAATTTAGCTATCGCGGGGGTTTTGGCCTTTCGTGGGTATACTGTACACGGAAGTACTGTCGTCACTTGAGATCTTTCTCAGGTGATGGTGTTGTGTAGCTGATACCGTGGTGTGGGACGGCCCGGGGAACTTCAACCTTTGCCGTGCAAGCATCTCGTGGACAAAGACACCCGCGTAGCCTGAACAGACTTGGGGAAAGTGCTATTAGCGAGCACCTACAAAGGACGGCACGGCACACTAGGGGGTGGGTTGCCAGCACCACACCTGGCCGCCTTTGTCTTTTTAGAGCAGATATTTACATTGCACCAGATGTAGTGAGTGCTAGCGCACTGAATGAAACCACTCAGGTTCTTCAGGAAAGAAAAAAGCATACCAACTTTCTAAACTTTTTTTTCAGAAGCCACGACTGGATGAATGCTTCCTCAAACCCTCACCACCCATGTCTCACAGTCATGTCATGCAGAAATTTCTCTAGCACCTGTACATGAGCCGATTGTAAACTACATTAACAAAAAACCCTTTTTTTATTTTTGCAGGTAATGCCCACTGAACTATATAGCTCTTTTTGAGAAAGTGACCTGGCCACAAATGATAGCTCAACGAAGTGGCTTATTATATGTACAATTATAGCATCTATATACTCTAAAAGCATGTTTTTATATGTGGAGGGAAAAACTGGAGCACCCAGAGAAAATCCACACGATCATGGGAACATGCAAACTCGAAGTATACAGGCTTTGGGGTCAGGATCGAACCCACGACCTTTCCCATATGTACTTTAATCTTTTAGACCTTAAAAATTATATGCGTGAATGGCGTTTTGTATTAGTTCAGTGGGAATTCCCAATTCTTGGATGATCAGAGCAAGTGTATTATAGTCGAGGCCAAACGAAGTAAAGCTCTTTAATATTATATTCTTGAAAAACCTTCAATTGTAGACATGTCTGCATATCTTAGAAGTTATATGTAAGCTTAATTATGACAACTTAATATATGCACTAATCTATAATGTACAAAGGTTATATGTTTAGCCCTTTATCAATCCACCGTTTATTGCAGGCCTCCCCACACTGTTTTACTCATGGGAGTTGCGAGACCATAATGCGCCACAATGATCAGTTGGATTGGTGAAGGGGGAGCCTATGACTGGTTCATATATCACTCACGACTCGTGTTGAACACCGTTTGCCAGGTTATAATTTCATGCAAAACCACTGCATCACCATTGCAGGAGATGCCATGGTGCAATGGTTGTCACACTGGACTTGCAATCCAGAGGTTGCCGGTTCATTTACATTTTCTGTCACGGCAGCTGAAGCATATAAATGGGCACAGATTGATCGTTAGGTGGCATGTAATGGGGTAAAATGTGGGTATGCCTACCTCTTCAAGCACGTCTGATCAACGTGGAAGAGAAGACCAAATATCCCATAGAGGAGGCCTTCCACTAGCAGTGTGATGAGGCAATTGAAGGGCAGCACCTTCCTTTCTTCTACCCTGTACACTGCAATGGAATGTCTTGCCGTAAATGTTGCAATAGCAACCTTCCGGTCATAAATGTTTACAAACTAATTGTGGGCAGTTGAAATAATCACAACACTTTCATGTAACGATAATACTGGACACCTGTGAAAAATAGCTTCATAGCTCCTCGGATTCATCCAGTTTAAATGAAGATTCTGATTTATTTCATTCGGTTAATATAAGAGCTGGTTGAAGGACAATACTTGCACTTCGATTATTCAATGAAATTCAATAGTTGAATTTAAAATACGACGACAAGCTGCAGTGCTTTGGAATAGCGTAATATCTTGGCTACTTTTGTATTAAGACTGGTCAGCTATATGACCAAACTCTTTTAGCGGAATCACAGCTACATAAAAAAAAAACAATGCAAATTCCTCCATGAGTCTTATCACACGCTGCGTCAATTATTGTCCCTCATCTAACCAGGGGTGCCCGAGTTACCCCAAGGCGGGGCGACAAACGTACGAGCATTGCATGCTGCCCATCCCCAGACGTGCAAAGGCTACATGATAAGGCGACTCGTCATCCCAGCGAGGCTTCTCGTGGGGTTTTCTGTCTGTTGCCCTAGAAAGTTGTATTTTTAACCTCACATCAGCCATTACATTAACCAATCCCAAAACTGTATTATTATAGTTAAGCTCACAATCTTAAAGCACAGGAAAGAATGCCACTTTGGGAATTTGGCTCAACTTAAATATATAGAGCACCTGCTTTTGGACACCTGCGTTAGACCTTATGGTAGGAGATGAGCTCGGTTTAACCAAATCGGGCCCTTTTCCCACAGTAAACCATTGAATTATATTTATGGACACCAAATCACAGCGGTAGGTTGCAGAGTAATTCTCAGGGAGAGGCAATAGCGAAAATACGTTGCGTCCGGGAGTGTTTTTTTTTTTAAATCACATACGAGATGGTTTCTAATAAACACTTGTAACACTTTGGAGATGGTTATTCTGCATGAACTTTGTGACAGATGTCTTGTGTGTCGATGGTTGTTTGCCCACTTTCCCCCATTCTCCTAGCTCCTTAACAGAATGGCTCGGACGAGTCGATGTTTACAAAAAAAGATACAATTCATATGCACTTGGAACAAGTGAAGCGCTGCTCAGGTGTATATATGCACAGTATGTAGCCAAGCGTGCTAATAAGAGGGGCGATTAAACAGTTATCGTTTTAATTGCCAAAAAATATACAATGTTGTATCTGTTGAGTACCAAAGCTAGTTAATTAAATATTTGTTTCAAGCGCTGCAAGGTTTACACACATTGCGGCTTTTCTGACGTGGCTTATCTACACGCGACAAACTTTATACTCTATAATGTACCAGGCTGTGCCAGGGTCACTCCCCTGTGTTTTGCTGGCACATTTTGAAAGGGCGCATTGTATAAGGGTTATCTGCTCTATAAAAACTATTGATTTCCATTCCCAGTCCCACTTTACTCAATGTATGCTTGCTTGTTAAATTCGGCTTAAGCTTATTTTACATCGTTTATAAACGTATGTTTTTGAATATAAATAAGTGTATGTACACTGTCAATCCACTGCTGGATGAAGGCCTCCCCACACCATGCTGGTCAGTGCTGGATAATAAAGGCAGGGAGCATAGACATTGATGCAGAGTACAGTAGTATACTTTTAAGTGTATGATCCTTCAACTATAACTATGCTAATGCTGGAGATGATGACAGAACAATACTAATACGTACAGTATTGTACATTGTTTTTATATTTTTTTAAGAACTGCATAATTTGACTCACTGATATGGGACAACATTTTAGACAGCCTGTCTGTAGAGGCAATATGCAGGCCGCAGGGCATTTTAGCCTCATAAGAGATCAGCTAACTGCCCAGATATGCTAATTGAACATGGGTATTAAGGATGCAACTAAATTCTGTTCTAGTAGATACTAGAATCAGGGCTTTATTTAACTGCCATTTGTAAGTTACAACTAACTTTTTTCACGCACAAAAAAACGTTAATGTTGTTCAATTTGCTTTACTTGTGTAGTGACATCAGGGATGTCACTCTATGGTGCCGGCCCGAGAGGGCCGTGACGCGCGATGCCCTGTCATCGCGTACACCCCGTAGGCGGGTGTAGTACCAGCCCTAGCGGGGCTTGGTGAGCGCTGGGATAGCGCGGGCACCACGCATAACGCGCAGTGCGGGCTCCCACAAGGGGGAACGGGAGAGTGTCAGCCCAGGGGCAGGGTTGCCCCGGGCCATGGGACTCTGGTTGACCCCGTAGGCACGTGATCCGGAGTGATCACGTGTCCAGGGAGAACTCTCGAGAGGGAGCTAGAACCCTCGAGAAGGCGGGCGGGGCCGAGGGCGAAGCGGCCCCGACCTGGGAGGAAATAAGGTGGGTCCCTCTCAGGGACCGGGGTCGCTTCGTTCTACAAGCTGCAAGCTCTACGTCTACAAGCTGCAAGCTCTACGTCTACAAGCTGGAAGCTCTATGTTCTAAGAGGCATCAACACGTGGCCGTGGACTCGAGTGAGGGTCCGACCCTTCGTCGCTGTAACTCCTACGTATAGTGTAGTTAGCTGGGTGGTCACCACCCCAGGCTGTTTCTCGTAAAGGGGCAGTTACCCCTTTGTATATACGTGTTACAATAAGTGTGTTGCATCTAAAGAATAACGTCTGTGACTCAGTTGGACTCACCACACTTGTATATTGTAATCAAATCCATTCTGACCAATTCAAACTAAATCCGGAATGCACAGTAGTTTGGGTGATTATATCTGGATATAAGGAATACAATAGCATTGTTTTGTTTTTCAAATAACCAACTATTACTCGCACGATACTAATTTAAATCACAAGCTTAAATTAATAGACATTTAGCTGTACCTGGCACAGACTCTTTACCATCACTCACCGTTGACTTAAAACCCTTTTTAATTGGGGATGGTAAAAATCGAGTCACGTTCAGCTAAAAACCCCATTCAAAAATGTTAATATCCTGCAACTGTCAATTTCACAGATTCCCTCATAATATTTAACCATGATTTTCTTATCCGTTATCAAACTAGTCATCTGTTTGGCACAACAATTGCATGTGACATCTGTTATGATGTGGCTATATTACTAATTTGGCTAAGGGAGCATCGAAATTACTTGTTTCGTTTCATTGCCAAAGCCTCAACTCTAAACCATTATTACTCATTTACAATCACAAATTTGGATAAAGTTGGATGGTTGTCATCTGGGGTGACACACTCAGTTTTTGCCTCACTGCTTTTTGTAGATATTCAACATAAAGGGATCAGGTTGGTTGATAATTCATCACTCACTGGCGGTCATTCACCTCATTACTCATCGATCTGTGTACTACCATGGTTACTGTTCTGGTAAACTTCAATCATTGATTTCTTCCACCCTTGTTGAGGACTTTGGACTAACATACTGACTTTTATCTCTTTCATAATCCAGATCAAAACACTGCTCTTTCTCGTTTTTTCTTAGCATTGCTCGACTTTGAAATTCCCTCCCATTGTCTCTTTTCCAAAGTTTGTGAAAAATAATTTTGAAAATCACTACGTTTCAATCGCAACACAAGCAATCGTCTTCAGGTGAAAAAATACAGCAGGCGAACTGCTGAGACAGGTAGAAATATAGCGAGAGAACTACTGCAGCAAGAGGTTATATAGGTTTGAAATGGGTACAACCCAAGGGTAAGTGGGCGGGGCTAGAGATGAAATTTACAAGTAATATACCTCGCTCACTGTATTGCTAGAGAGTAGCATGTCAATCTGTTAATGTAACCCCACGACTACGGTGCTGAAGAAGCCATTGTATTGCTAGAGACGAGAGATTAGCATGTCAACGTGAGATGGCTCCCGCAGCAGCGGCTGTGTTAATGAGACACGTTCAGCCTATTACACAACGAGAGCCACTGCCACATCGAGGAAAAGGGAAGCAGCGGCTATGTTAGTGAGACATTTAGCCTGTTAATGTAAAGACATTTAACAATGTAATGTAACTCAGAGAGTCGGAAATAACTTAACATCGGCAGGTAGGATGGAAGCATTACAGCCAGTTATGACTTTACCTGGTTAATAACATCCTTCCAATGATTGCTCAGTTTGTACCCATCTTCTCGGTTGAAATTGTCTGTGTTTATATATCTGGATGGCTTCATGAACAAATCTTTGTTGATAGCCAGTGGGTTTGCATAGTTCCTTCGTCTTGGAGAAATCAATTTCATGTGTGCCTACAGCGTTAAAACAATTATCAGCCACGGCAGAGGTATTAGTCCGACAGTATTTCAGATCCGCCTTGTGTTCACGATCACGGTCTGAGACATGTCGCTGGGGTTTTCCAATGTAACTTCTGCCGCAGGCACAACTCAGTTTGCAGACACCGGGGTATTGCATGTCAGGGATCACATCCTTCACAGATGGGATCAGATCACGAATTGTATATACTGTGTTGAATCGAACCTGGATCTTGTGTTTGCTCATGATTTTGGAAATATATTTGGTGACCCCTGCTATGTATGGCAAGGTGATGGTTTTGATTGGGTCCTCAGGTGGTTCTCTCCCAACGGTTGGGGTGACAGCTTTACGGATTGTGCAATCCGAATATCCATTCATCTTGAGGGCTTGGTGTACGTGCTCCAGTTCACTGGCTAGGTGGTGATGGTCGAAAATGCAACGAGCCCTGTGGTTTAGAGTTTTGATGAGGGAATTCTTCTGGGCTGGATGGTGGTGGGAGTCAGGTTTCAGATAGGCATCCGTGTGGGTGGCTTTCCTGTAGACAGTGTCCCAATGAGCCCTCTGGTCTCTTTTCGATTAAAACTTCCAAGAATGGTAACTTGCCATCCGTTTCTACCTCCATGGTGAATTTGATGGCTGGGTATATGAAATTGATGTGGTTGAAGAATTGGTTCAGAGCTGACAGGCCATGTGGCGAGATGACAAACGTGTCATCTACAGATCTCTTCCACAAGGAAGGACATAGGATGGATGCCTGGATGGCATCTGTCTCAAATTTTTTCTATGAAAACATTGGCTACCACTGGAGATAAGGGAGAACCCATTGGGGTATCTTCAACTTGTTTGTAGAATGTTCCATTCCAGGTGAAGTAAGTGTTGGTGGGGCAGTGTCTCACCAGGGCCAGTACATCAGCATTCAGTCCTTGTTGGACCAAATCTTCAATGATTGCCATGGTGTCAGGCACAGGAACTTTGGCAAACAAAGAAACTACATCGAAACTGACAAGCAAATCACCTAGAGATAGTGAGATGTCTTTAATTAGAGATACCAAGTGAGCTGAATTAACACTCAAAAAGCCACAACATATTAATTAATTAAATCAACATTGCTTTTTAATGGGAAATACTTTAAACGGTTTCAAGTTTTCTTGCATAAGAGGGCATACCATTAATGCAGACGTTTTGTACCAACTTGCAGAGTTGTCAGTGCATCAGCATTGTTTTATATTGTCGCTGCTTGTCAAAGTAATCGTAAAGTGTCCTCCTGTAGTAGTTTAAAGAATACGCACCATAGTGTGCATAATGCCCATACCTTCCTGCGTGCTCACTGTTGGTCATTACACATTTACTTTGCATTTGTGCAAATAAAAGCTGTTGTTTGCATTTCTCAGTAGTTGGATGACTGGTAATGTGCCTATCACCTGCTTTGCCTGGCACGCCTTGTTATCAGTGACGATGTGGGGTTGGAGGAGGTGGGGGGGCATTGGTCCGGGGGGTGGTGGATGGTACGGATTGTGCAAACAATGGGCACCTCTATTTAAGTGGCTCCTCAGATGAACTCAAATCTCCGAGGACACGTTTTTTTTTTACCAGAAGGCAGTTGCTACCAAACAAGATGGGAAACGTACAGGTGAGAATAAGAACTCGTGTTAATGATAACATTTGCACCAAATCGTGCATACACCCTCTTAACTGCATTGTGTTCTAGAGACTGCTGTGCTATATGTCGAAAATAATGGGCATGTTTTTGGCTCGTAATACACAAATCTTTCCCACTTCAAATTACTCAGAGGACCACTGACAATAGGAATAACAAAAACTCAACATATTGCCTTAAAAATACTAAATGATATAGGCGACTTTTTGGGCAAAGGCCCTTCACAGTACATAGAGAAATGCCATTGTTTAAAACGTCACCTATTTTTTTAGTCGGTTGTATTCACGAATGTGTTGAGTTTTTTTCTGTTATTTGTGCTCGTGCACAACTGCCAATGCAGTATCATCAAATCTTTTTTTTTTACATATGCGTGGTTTTGTTTACTGTTGTAAATTTTAAATGAATGATTTTGCCGCGACGAATCGTTAACGATTGGGACGTTCTTGCAAAGAAAAACATGCGATCTTCATAAGCATATTTAAATGTATACTCATTACAGTTAATATAATATACTGTAATTTAATTAGCTCACTGCATACGTACAGTCTCAAAACATCTGAATGTAAAATGGTAATACAATCCTAGTGCTCTGGACCCTCAGTTACCCTATGGATCTGAAGTCCAGAAAATATTCTCATGGGATAATTTTTCCATATTTCAAAAAACAACGAGAGCAGTAAATAGAATGTAACCTTTTTTTAAACAGTCACAATGTGCAGAATGTTTTAATGGACAACAATAATTTCAGATCCTCTCGACTCGTAATGTGTCTCCACCTGATTAGCTCAGCCTGATTTTTTTTTTATCTCAGCTACACATCGTAGGGTGGATGAAGGAGTGCGGGTTTTGTTCAAGTCTAAGAGGCATTATAATTAACTCCGTTGCTTTCGTGTACGAGGGAGGCACTGCTGCCCATGCTGAACCAGAAACATTTCATACGAAATATTGTTTTTTATTCATTAACATTTAAAGTATTGTTTATTTAGAGTATGTGTCTTAATAAAATTGAAGGTCAGAGGTTCTTTTTTTCTCCAAGTAAAGTCAATGTTTAAAGCAGGTGAAACTCTTTTTTGAAAAACAATACATACAATGCTTTTGTTTAATGTCCAGTGTAACCTCAAAAAGAAACAAAAAATCAAGCCGAAGAAACTTCTGCTGGCCGTATGATCTTTTTTTAAACTTAGAAGTGACGATGATCGAATTAATATTAAGTGTATTCATATCATTTATGGTATCTAAATATCATAAATCAAAAAATGCATTCTTCCTCTATAGTTTACAATAAAGTCACATTTTCACTGAACGTCTCTGATTTGCGTTTCCAGTAGCTTGTGTGCTGCTTTCATTTTTTGCGGGTAAATGTTGAGAGTGTGAATGTTCTCTTAATAATTTACTTCGATAAATGATTGTGATTTGTTGTCATATTCAGCTTTAAGCAGTTTGAAACCTGCTTAATGTCGCATGATTGTAGTTTGAAATAAACGGTGTAATTTACGAGCTGAGTTTTATAGAATGGCATCCACGTTGGAAAAATCACCTGCATTCTATCGGATGGTACAAACCATGAGCGGCTTAAAGCTTGTTTCAAATTGCTGCTTTTCATGCAGTAGCTGCTTGCTCTTAATTGCAGTGTGTCTGGAGTGGGTAATTTTTGGCGCTGGGTTGGTAGAGGCAAACTCGTGTTCGATGCTTGCCAACAATATTCCGTTTTGTGTCTTGCTTTACTAATTTAACGACAAATGGTACAACTGATTGGGTGTTAAAATGGATCTGTCTTCATGTGTGCGTGTGTGTGCGCCCACCTATCTTATCTTCCCGCACACACACACCTGCCTTTCTGTCGTGCGTATTGCAGCATGTTTGCCCTTTTTAAAATTGCGTGGCTGTTTTTAAGGGAACATCGATCGACCATGTTACCGTAGATACAATTCAAATGCATATATGCTCGTTGAGCAAAAACTAATTACATTTAAATAGTCTAATTAATAATGTGGTCCCCAAGTGATTGACCTTTTATAACTAAAAGCTGTTAAAAGTTTGTAAAAACATTTTTTGTAACTGCTATAGTCGTAGACTTATTTTTTTAATAGTACCAACTTTTAAAGATGGGAGTTGATTGTGTTTTGATTGAAGTCGTTTGCACGTTTGTATTCTTTGCCTTTTATAACAGTTTGTTTTTTGTTACTGAACAAATCGATTTGTAAAATATTTTATTTGGCTTCGATTCTATTTTTTTAATCTGGTGAGTTTGAGTTTGTTTTATCTGAGAGTCACTTCGTGTAAAAAGTTATCATACTCCTTTAAAAAAATCATACCTGTTGTGAAAACATGCAATTACAACATAGTCATAACCCATGATACTATTTAAGCTTCGAAGCATTTCAGCAGTGGCTCGTTTAAGTCCCTGCCCTTTGGGTGCAGTGACTGTTCGGTCAGCACGTACGATATCGATTCATGAAAGCCCCATGATGGTTTAAACATTTACCATGGTTCGAGTAAATTAAATAAAGCACATTTTAGGCAATAATTTTTTTTACCATCCGCACAATTCAACCTACAGATTACACGACTGTAAATTGACTTCAAAGTATCCTGTAATAAAATACAGTCAACTCTCTGTTTTATTACAAGGTTAGGCAAAGGTATAAACCGCATGTCTGATTTAGTGTGTGAATGACTACATGTGGATGTGTGCACCCATTTTCTTTCTTTGTCTGCAGCCTACAATTCACCCATATGCTGACTTCAATGCAGCCAAGGATGCTAAAGACCTTAGGAAGGCATGCAAAGGACTAGGTAAAGCATTTTCCCCACTTGTGTACATCTTAACTTGTAGTTTTAAAAAACCACACCATTTATTGCAGTCATTGTGACAGCCAATATATCCTTTTTGAAGTTCATCAATGTTTTAATAGTTTTTTTTGGCATTTTAGGCACAGATGAAGATAAAATCATTGACATTTTGGCAAATCGCACTGCCAAGCAACGTCACGAGATCAAGGAAGAGTACAAGCGTTCATTTGGAGATGTAAGATGCTACTGTGACGCCTTGTGTTCAAATCATGAAGCCATTCGTCTTGACTGTCTAAGTTTAACAATAAGATAGCTATAGTGAACCTGGCAATGTAGGTTTAATACCTGGCCACGGTTAACTTCAGTGGCAAGTCATGAATATCATCTGAACTGGTCCTGGGTTCCGCCTTCACCAACTAGCACTGAACAGCGTGGTGCAGTTTGTATTTTTAAATAACCCCCTATTACCAATACGGTGTGAGAAGGCCTTAGCAGTGGGTTGACACATGGATTAATTTCACGTAGAATATTTTCAGGATCGTTGGTAGACTGGACTACTAGGCACATGAAGAGTAGCCACAGCCATAGCTAGATGTGGCATGCCAAGTTCATAAATATGTTGTACTCGGTCACTCATTAAAGAAGCATTGGTTGGTAATGGTCCTACCACCAACGGATGCTGTTCCTTTAAATAATGTGTTCTATAAAACCATTGAATAGCGATGGTAAAATCAGACAGCCATGGTTAACTCCAGCTGCTGTCTAGAACCATTTCCCCAGATGTTCACCGATGAATACTGCACTTGTGTTTTGTTGTATTTGTGTATTGCTTCTACACTGGTGACCGGTTTAATTCCAAAGACAGAATTAGGAACAGATGGATTAGACAACATGACAAGGTTCATGGCATCATGCAATCAGCTCAGGAAAGTAATGTGCTTGGACAAAACAGCGTGAGAAGGCCGATAAAGAACCACCATAGTGCCGTGGCGGCCAAGGAATAGAATGCACCACCTAGAAGAAGTGGAGCGAGAAGAAGTAGAGCAGGGAGATGGTGCGATGAAATCAGTGCGTTATCAGGTGCTAGAGGTGGATTGTTGCATCACAGGACGCCGAGAGGTAGCAGAGACTTTGGGACGCTTTTAAACGAATGCATTATAAGGTTGCACTCATTACACACAAAGTGCTTGCCACAAATGAACCACAATACCTTGCTGATCCCGTCAAGGAGCATTAACCATCACGCGAACTCGGGGCATCCTCCCATCAGATTTTGGATAGCCATCGAACGATGCCGGTCACTGCATTGCGCGCTTTCAGATGCGCTTCTGTGGCCGTCTGGCACGCTCTTCCTTCCCTTATTAGGGAATCACTGAAGTTATGCACTTTTAAATATAGAGTGAAAACTCATTTCTTTAGAACTGCTTTTTCTGTTTAGTTTGTCCTTCCCGCGCACATCTGATTTGCCAGGTCGGCTACAAGCGAAAGAAGTCCAAACGTACATACATACGAATTATGGCTGATGATGATCCCTATTAACTTTGTCCATTGTTTTAGCCATGAATCTGTAGGTCTCATAAACTATGCTTCCATGAACCAGCTTCCCCCATCTCTTTCAAAGCAAACATTGCATTGAGCTCTTAGCGATATGACGACCGCATTAACAAACGGACGCATCCGCTGGTTTAAGCCGTTGCTGTGATACACCTGCTGACATGCGTGATATGGAGAATGTTGCTAGGCTGGACGCAACGTCGTGCGATAAGGGTAGCAAGCACTAGGTGGAGCCAAGGTAATACGGTGAGTCATTCGTGATTCCAAAGCAGTCTCTGCATGTATCGTGTTTACATGATCAATATTGGCAATACCCAATGTGAATATTTGCTCAGCTGAAGTTAATTAAACGCAGGTATGCAATTAAATAGAACTAACATTATTTTTCTTGTCAAATAACCACACGGTGGATTCTACGTTGACCTAACACTAATGAATTGATTTGTCTGCTTGAATGTCTATTATATACAGGGTGGTGGTCCAGATGTCTGATCATCCCCAATTTATTGACTCCTCATATGTTGTTTGCTTATTCATTACTGTTTTAACACCCATTTGTATATTTTAAAAAAAATGTTAACATGGAGAGAATAAAGTGAGGGGCCACACGACATCTGGACCACCCTGTACATAGTTGGGATGCATTTTATGAAGAACAAAATACGCAGTGGGATCCAAGTGGCACGTTTCATTATTGAAATACCAAAAATCCACACGTATATTTTTTTTTCCCTTCTGAAATGATCCCTGTATCAGGATGTTTATGCAGTTTGGTAAATAAATGAAGGGATAGCAATAAAAAAGTGCATGCAGCTATATCAGCAACCTGAATGTTGTACTACTATACACTGACCTCGTATGGAAATAGTCATTACATGCTGTAACTTGAATATTAAATCGAATAGCTCCACTTGCAAAACATACTGATCTTGTTTTTCTTGGTTCCGATGTGCCATTCAATAAAAGCAGCGATTGGCCTCTATTGTTGGACTGTTGACAAGGCCAAACTAACATTGGCCAAGTTACGCCATTTATTGCATTGTTGTGGCTTCAAATGCTGATAGCAACGAAATATGTCATGCATTCATGATGGAGCGACAACATGAGCGATTGTGTTAGCGAGCTGCAGAGCTGTAATGGGAAGCCCAAAGCAACAATTGCTCTATTATCACTACATACAAAAAATCATTACGGTAGAGTCGTGGTGCAATGCTCAGTGTACTATCATATGAACCTGACTATTTGAGTTCGACTCCCAGCCATGGATAATATGAGGGGCTAGTTATGGCTGAAACGATCCTGGCCCCTCCTTTACCAAACCACGCTGACTAACGTGGTGATGTGGGCCAGGGTTGTTTTAGTTTTAGGGGGTCTTGTTTTTTATATTCTAATTCCTTACCTTTATTTTATTACCACTACTCATACCCGAAGCCAAATTACCTATATGATTTTTCACAGTGCTACAGTATTGTTTTTTTGGCCATTATAAAGGAGTATACATTAGCGGGTCTCTAAAAATCTGAGGCCCCTGCATTAATCTGGCGCTGCGTGTGGGACCAGGCTTTGGGTGCTTTGTATCTCATTTACCTTGGCACACCTGAGCTGATCCATCATTGTGCAATTGACCATTACGGTTGGGTTTCCACTGGCAATTTACTGAACCGAGCTGGAACCAAATCGTGCTCAACTGGCCTCACAAGAAATCTGAATCTGGCTAGGGGCCAAACTGTACCTAGGGTGGGAATAATTATATGTGCAATGTGTCTGACATCATCACACCCAAACAGAATCAATAAACTCACTTTCAGTCAGAGCCTTGGGGTTCTGAAGAAGTGTGTCTGTGAGGGTATGTGTAGACCAGTGTGTGAGAGTGTGTGCATCAACTCAAACGTAGTGTCACCATATCTTCTCAATGCATCTCACCGTAACACATTGCATGTGACCTCAGTGACACAGCTTCGGCTTATGCAGTGGAAAAAAACAACCTGGTGTCTCCTGAGCTGCACCGTCATTGCCTGACATGGCCCCGGCATAGCTCGGATGCATTGTGGAAAAAAAGAGGCATTCCCTTTGCTGTGACGTTGCTGTGCAGGACCTGGTCGATGTGCTCAAGGGTGAGCTGAAGGGCGACTTGGAGAAGGTGGTGCTGGCGCTCATGGACCTGCCGGCTGTGTACGATGCCAAGGAGCTGCGCAAGGCCATGAAGGGTGCTGGCACGGATGAGGAAGTGCTCGTGGAGATCCTTTGCACCCGCACCAACAAGGTCTCTCCCCGCAGTCAGCCACCCACAGTACACCGCGCCACTCACAGTGGACACATCAACTTTACCAACTGCCTTTTGGTTTTGTATATCGATTTCATTCCCGTGTGCTATCGGTATCACATCACGGTCATTATTTGGAAAGCTCGCTGGAAAGTGTGACCCCCGTTTGTCCGAATATTGCTATGCAAGTAGAGTTTCACAGAACTTCTTCTGAAAAATCCTTTTATTGGCTTTTTTTTTAATTTTCACAAGACAAACACCAATATCGTGATCCAACGTGTTATATGTAGTTTAGTCACATGCCCGCGGCAGCCATTAGAGGTGCCATAGATACTAAAATGTAAAAAAAAAACATAACACAAATATTGCCGAAGTGAAATTGCAAGGGGGCTGTGGAGGGAGGACGTGAGGTGGGGGGGTCATTATCTGCTCTATTCCATCGATGGTGCCAATTTACTATTATTGATTACACAGCAAGTTATTTTCATTTTAAGAACTACAGACGGATAATAGGCTCTGCAAAACATCAATTACAGTTAAACAATACAACAGAATAAATCCGAAATGAATAGGCCATAGCTTCCAGCATAGGAATGTGGACTTTCCTGCACTGGGCAAGACACCAATGGAGATACATTGACATGTTTTCATCTAGTTAAATGTCGAGATATTGCCCAGTTTACGTCTACGAATGTATATTGGAACCACATTTAGAATGCAATGTTTTGTATCACACAAGCTGAAGAGAGTCATTTAAAAATATAACCTTGTATGCTGCAGTAGGCTTGCTAAAACATGGGTTAACTGTTATTCGCAAATGTTTATGCAATTTATGTTTGCATATAATTAAATATAGGTTGTTGTTTTCTCTTTATTGCAAATATGTACAATACAGATACTGTGCAACGTTATGCTTTACAAATTATCTTAGTGGTGTTTAACGAAGGGAATTTTTGGGAAAATGGGATGTGGACATAGGGTACAAATGTCAGCTATATATATAAAAGGGAAATTTGTGAATATGTGTGTCTGTTCGAAATGTTTAGCTTACTTCCCGACATGCAACAAACTTGAAATTTGGCATGCGGTTAGCTTCCAGACTGTACACAATGCACAAAGTATAACAATAGACTTTTGTATTTTGGGGGGGGCGCATATATTCGATTTATTTTGCACGGCAAGTGAGCGGTGACCTCACATCTGTGATGTCACCCGCATGCGGCAGCGTCACGCAATGTGCCTGCTGACGTCACGCATCCACCCCCCACCCTCCGCGTAGGCCGTCTATTAATCCAAGACAAGAATCCAAGTCCCGGGCGATGCCGGGTAGTAAAGCTAGTCAAAATATAAAAATTAAGCGTGAAACAGTGTCACATACTGCGCTATGAACCCATCTCTCTTAATTCAATTCCCCACTATGGCTGATGTAGCTCGTCCGCCCTGACCCCTCTCCTCCCGTCATGAATCCTTGCCAGGGGAACAGGTGGGGTTAATAGACAGCAACAATTAAAAATATATATAGTAAAGTTCGGAAACGATGAGAGAGTAGGTCCTCTGCGTTGTGTTCTGCCTTCTGGAGAAGTGGGCTGACTCCACAACAGCCGAGCACCGAGAGGGTTTGTGAAACGGCGGAACTTTATTTCGAAGTGTTCCTCAGAAGGGAAAATTGCGTCTCTGCATTAGCGATCAGAGGCACCCTCCACGTCGCAACACCGCAGCTGAATTCCTCATGCATCAAGAGCGCCCAAATATACATTGGGAGCATGCCTCGTACTCTCCTGGGTGCGAATGGGGCTGGGAGTCCAATCATTGATCAACATTTCCTTCTCTTATAAACACATTCCTGCGGAGGGAGCTGGTAGGAACGTTGGGTTGCTCGGTCAATGGCCAGGGTCAACGGCGGCGTGGTGTATTCCGCAAATATGGCCGACTGTGAGGGCGGGTACAAGCCGGCGTGAGTAGGTTAAACGTTGAGTTTTATAAGGGCACCACGGGGTGACCAGCCCCTCCCCACCCAGCCCCACCCAGCCCCACCCTCCCCACCCAGCCCCACCCAGCCCCTCCCCTCCCCACCCTCCCCTCCCCACCCAGCCCCTCCCCACCCTCCCCACCCAGCCCCTCCCCATCCTCCCCTCTCCACCCAGCCCCACCCCTCCCATTTTTGGATGCACGACGGACGGACACATTAATCCCCTGTGGGCTGGTGGAACCAGGTGGTTCCTACCAATATAACCGCACCTGGCTACCCGTAGCGATTAGCAGAATGCGCAATTGTACGTGTGATTAATCACAGGCGAGCTCACACCGGCTACACTGACATTAATAGCTAGTGATATCAGAAGTAGAGTCAAACAACCCAACATGACTGACATGGCATGGGGAGGCCTTCATGCAGCAGTGGATTGACCAATTTTTTTACGTTATTATTGCTACTACTTTAGTACTGTATTATAAAATGGAAACGTTCGTAAATAAATTATTTAAATTATATTTTCGGAGTAGTTAAGAGACAGGATTTAGTCATGCATCAAATGATGGAATAGTAAGAAAAATTTGGAAAATTTCTGTTTACCATGACCTTAATATGAATATTTGTCTGAACTTGCAAATTTCAATGAGCGAATCACATTTCATACACTGGTGTTGATTAGCGAGCAATGGAAAGGAATGCAAATACTTTTTCCAATTATCCAATTCTTGACCTCATCAAAACCCAATCATTTATTCATGAGTGTAATAATTCAGTGATCCTTAACATTTCAACATCCATATTGAAAACATCCACCATAAATGTAAAGCGTATATTCTTCGTAATTATATGAGATTAAAACATTTGTTCCGGCTATTCTCAATGCACTAATGGATGAAGGCCTCCAAATGCCATGTGGTTAATGTGAGATTGTTTTACCATACTTCACAATGCTGGTCAGTGCGGGTTGGTGATGGACGGAGAACTTAAGCAGTTATGATATAACTCACCACCGATGTTAGCCGTTGCATGCATTCGAATTTCAGTAGCAGCAATATAACCACTACACCACCGGATTAAAAGTAGTATTGTTGCTTGCTATCTTCATTCAGTAGACAATGTTATGTTGTTGAACTTTCTCACCGTACGTAGCCAACCGTGCTCATCGAAGGTGTAGGTAATAAATTGGTGTTGTACGAGCAATGACGTCTTCTTTCCACGCTTGCCTTTGACTAACTGTCAAATCAGATCCTGCGAACACAAGAATCAAACCATTTTATTGCATGCATATCTCATTGTCGTAGGGTATCTGGTTGTTGGTGTGGGAACCACCTTCAACGTCTTATCATTCAAGATTATCACATTGTAACATTTATTAGCACTGTTAGCTGTGGTAAACATAGGATAGTCACTGACCCCAGCAAGGCTATCAACCCAAGGCTGCAACATGTGTGTCCACAGCAGAAGTAACTGCCATTCTGCCAACTTCCTATCAATCTATGGTCCAAACTCTGCTGTGACCACAATAGATGTCGATAGTGTATTATAGAACGTATATATATCGTTGCAAGTCAAACAAGTCAATTGTTAATGGTATTGGCTTTAAGATATTTGAGTTAGTTTTTTTCTGCTTGGTTTATGTAAGATATTTTAAAACAAATCTCATTGCAATGCAATTCAGTTTTGTTTTACTTGGTGGCGAAATACCAGATGTGCTAGAAGGCATTCGACAGTTTTGTGACAAACTATGAATAACAAATAATAATTTGCAATGAGTCGAAATGTGATAGAATTTGGGACAAATAAAAATGCTTTATGTAAACAATGAATGCTAAAATACTTTCACACCTCAGCCATTTGTATACACTGTACAGCACTCTTCATAAGAATCCACTGCTGGATGAGGGCCTCCCCTGAGCCAGAGCCAGTGGTGGAAATTCCACATTTCTGTGGTGGGGTTCAGACTATCCATAAGAAAACCACAGTTGAATTCACAAATTGTCACTCATTTGATTGACTCTGGAGGGATTAAGGCACTACGTTGGCCCCAAGCTGGATTTTCTTCCCAAGCCACACACTCTACCCACACACTTCCATGTATCTGATAGATAATCATAAAAAACAAGTTTGCAGTTAAGCTAACAATGAAGAAGCTAACACTTTATTATTTTTCTCTGCTTCCAGCAAATCCAAAGAATGCGTCTCGTTTACAATGAACGTGAGTATGTGATATGCACACGGTTGATGTTTGTGTAATAAAACACTGATTTTCGGCATTGACAATTCGTAGCAAATGAAAAAACACACACTACACGACATACTTATTTGAGACTGAGTTGACTCAGGGAGAGGCCCAGGACCGATTCAGATAATCGTCACTGGTGGTGGCCGTAATTAGGAATCAATCTCGGGTCGCCAGGTTTGTAGCGTAGCACGCTAAAGATCATACTGGCGCTCCTCACAAAATAACATACACACACGCACACTGTGCATTTGTTTAATGTTTGTGAACCTCGTTTAGTTTTTGACAGGGACCTTGAGTCAGACCTGAAGAGTGAGACCAGCGGTGCGGTGGAGAAGCTTTTGGTCGCCCTGGTACAGGTGAGGGGTCGCCTCGCACACAAGTGACAGGGCACGATGACTAAAATAGACTTCCATGGATCATAACAATGGATTATTCATGGACCGGTGTATATTGGAAGGTAAACCCACAACATTTCCAATTCGAGTTTGCCAAAGTAGTAACTAATTGGCACGTTTTGTTTACGTAACAAACCTTACGAATTGGCTGTCTCGGGTGGTGGCGGGTTTAATGACATCTTTGTGTTTACGCTGATTTAACCCAAAAAACATCGGTTGCAAAAGCCTGCGTGTTCAACTGATTAAACTATTATGTATATCTGTCATTATGCACATGTAACATGTTACATTTGCATATGAATGTATATACATAACTACAAATGTCCAAATTAATACCAATTGTGCTGATGGCATCATGCAATGAGATGGAGAATACCAAAAATATATATTCTTGGGTCTTTCGGTAAAGTCACGTAGATAGGTTCAAAGAAAATAATAAAAAAATAACAGAAAACTACGACGTTTCGTTCGCAACGCAAATTTCAGGATGACGACCGCTTGCATTGCGATCGAAACGTCGTACTTTTCTGTTACTTTTGATTATTTTCTTTGAACCTATGTACGTGACTTTACCGAAAGACCCAAGAATATGAATTCCTGCAGTCACGAAAGCTTTAAGTCAAGAATCCCAAAAATCGTGCACAACTGTGTGCCCTGTCTCACAGTGGACGACTGCAGATGAGATTTTTGACAGGATTTCAGAAAAAAACCTTCTAATGTCCTTTTTGATCCTTAAAACGTTTCTGTTCACCCTGCTATGAAGTTACCACATAGCAGTCAAGTTGATCTATTTGTATTTCTTAATTAGCAGGGCTTGAATTTATCCAAATAAAGTGTGAAACCAAATGTGTCTTAAAGGGGTATTTTTATTATCTTTCCTGACTGGGCTTAGACCTATTAACTTGCTATGCTTGAGAACCAGATGTAATTATGCATTGCATCCTGGATTCAAACCCAGGTATAATCAGCATTGTGTGCCATGTGCTCTGACCTCTGAGCCACCCAGCCACCTGTGAATAGAGACATTTAGTAGACATAAAAAACTCCACCATTGGAGAGGAAGATGGAGTTAAATATATTTAAATCCGTTCAGGACCTGCTGGGTTACAACCCTTAGATTTTACACAACGCAAGTTCTCTAATTATCACGTTATGGTAAAACAATGGTATTTGCAAGAGAGCATTTAAAAAAAGTTAAATTACTTCAGTAGCACTGCTTCATTGGGAGAGAAAGAAATGTCACCTGAGACAGAGATGCACGGTGGGGAGGAGAAGAGTGTGTGTGGCTAAAGGGGCAGTTTTCCACCTTGAAACTTTTAGTCGGCTGTTGCATGTCGCAAATGGGAAAATATTCAATAGTTTCCAACCAACAGGAACAAGTCACCAATACGTTTTACCGATTTTTTTTCTTCAATGAAAACCCATTACTGAATAGCCTAGTGATTTCCATATGTTCAGTAATTGGTGTTTCATCTGAAATAGCAACAGAGTTAGGAAAACGTATGTCCGCCGTCCTTTTGGCAGGAAAACAATTTACATCTTCTGAAATGTTTTCGCTGGGTGCGACTACATAGCTAGTGAGTTTTTTATCCATTTATGTAACAATTTTTTATGAATGGCTAATACATCAACTTGTAAAGGTTTGATATTTGTGTTCCATAAATGTTTGGTTCTGTCTCCATAGGGGAATCGTGATGAAAGCACCGATGTGAATATGTCGTTGGCCAACAGTGATGCCAAGGAGCTTCACGAGGTATGCACAAGGCAAAAACAAACATGGTCGGGCATGGCATGCTATACATTTAAACAGCCTATTGTGCTGCAATTAATCTGTTTAATTCTTAAAAAATATATTCCATTATTATTTAAAGGTCATATTTGACACACAATGTTATAAGTAATGTCCCTGTTGCAAGAAAACTGCTAGTTTCTTAATAATTAGCTCTTACATCCACTAATTACTTCCCATGGATTTAATTAATTGTCCACAAATAAGTGATATGGGACATTTAAGATCGACAATGTGTTGCCGCTCCAACCTCTTCATCGATCCACTCGTGCAGAGCCAGACTTGTGCCCAGGAGTGCTCGTCATCATTTGCTGCAGATGTGCTATGGAAGCGCTGTTTCGCGGTGGCCGCGCGTGTTGGTGGAGTTTCTCACTTTGGACCTGTGTTGCAGGCAGGAAAAGGGCACTGGGGAACGGACGAGATGGCATTCAACTCGGTGCTGGCAACGAGAAACATGATGCAGCTGCGTGCCACCTTCAAGGCTTACAAAACGGTAACTCACCTCATCATGGGACCTCACCTCTTTTTGCCGTGACGTTTCCTAACTTGTGCTCTCATTGGGACTTTTTTTTTTACGGTCGTATTTCTCTGATGGTTTTCATGGTTATACTGTGTGTTGTTTAGCACGGTGTCTGACATTTAGCTCCACGTTCTGGGAGCTTCTTTAGCAACTGAATATAATCCCAGCTCCGGGCACATGGAGCAACATCAAACATCTAACTGACCAAAGGGTTGTACATATATATACACATCTCTGTGTCCTGGGATTGATATCAAACTGCATTTATTGATGATGTCGCCTGAAAAATTCCAAGGAGGAAGACAGCGAAAAACCATTTCAACTCTTTAGTTCATGGACCAAAGCATAAATCGGTACCACCTAAAATACCAACACTTTAGTTGTACCAAAATATGTATATGGTTCATAAGCGTGAATTACTTGAAAACTCTTTAATTTTCAGTGGTTATCACATAATTTACATAGATACATTGGAAACACTAAGTTATGCCACCTCACGCAGTACTGTCAAGTGAGAATATTTGGTTTGGGGCTCATGGACAAGTTCATCTCTTCGGCTCAAGAAGTGTGGTTACGTAGTTTTGCGTTGCCAGGTGAAGATTGGCGAGGTATGGTTGGGACTGTGTGAGCAGCTGCCCTTGGTCAGACAGCTTAATAGGAGAAGATACATCCTCATAAAAAAAAACTTTTTTTTTCTATTATATCATGACTGTATTAATTTATCATTTACAGCCATGTGTCAGATCCTTGAGGGCTGTAATAACTTGTGTTTTCCTGTGTTATTTTGTACATATCTCTTTGCGTGTTCTGGAAACTCTGCTATTTTGACCGTATTTTAGTCTTAAGATACATTTTCTGAATAAGGAAACTTTCTAAATTACAGGTATAATGATATATTGATTCATACTATCCATGTTAAAGCTCATGATGCATGCACTGAATTACAAGAGTAATAATCAATGTTTTTTACAATACGTTTACATAACCCCGACGGGCACGGGATGAAAAAAACGGAAAATGATTACTGAACTCAATGGATTCTGAATCGTTAAAATCTCCACTAAATGATACATTATTTCAGTTATAGCAGCCGATTATGTAATGTACAAGTAATATGACGTCAAGTCTTGCGTAACATGTTGCTTTCTATTGTTTTGTAGAACCATGGAGAGGACATTGAAGATGTCGTCAAGAGTGAAACATCTGGGATGCTGCAGGATGCTTACCTGGCTATTGGTAATTGTGTTACCTGCTGTTCATTACAAACTATGCAATTGTTGACATTTAAAACGCCAGACTAAACATTCACTCCTTTGGCATGGTGAATAGTATGTTTGTATGCCAGTAAAACGCCCTGCACATGGTCAGCATAATTACGCCAACTTTTTGAAGTATGCGCTGTGTTTTCACACGGATAATTTACAAAGCTTTGATGTCCTTCCAGTCCACTGTGCAGAGGATGCGCAGGAATACTTTGCAAAGAAGCTATACAAGTCGATGAAAGGGGTTGGCACAGATGATGATACACTCATCCGTTGCATTGTCAGCCGTTCCCAGGTAAGTGGCCCTGGGGGATAGTGGTACATGAGTGCAATGACAACATTCTTTGAGGGCAGTGGCTTTTAGCCAGCCATCAAACAAAGACGGTCACTGCATTGCGCGCTTTCAGATGCGCTTCTGTGGACGCCTGGCACGCTCTTCCTTCCCTTATTAGGAAATCACTGGAGCTATGCACTTTTAAATATATATTGAAAACTCATTTCTTTAGCACTGCTTTTCTGTTCAGTTTGTTGACCGTCCCCCGCACCTCTGATTAGCACGGTTGGTTATGTTCGGTGTGAAAGACGTTCTACATATATTCTCGTGTCATCATACCACTAACAGCACTGAATTGGTAATGGCCAACGCCCTTTGTTTGGATGGAGGGATGGGGCTGGGGAAAAGTACACACTCCCTCGTGATAGGCGTTATGTACGGAACATTTCATAATCGGAGCAGTCACCCAGAAAGGAACAAAATGACACGTGAAATGTGTTCTGTTCACAATTCATCAGGGGTGTAATGGAGGGGGGGGGGTATCTTGGGACTAGAAACTCTGTTAAGAATCCAGTGAGATTTATTTTCGTGTAAAGTAGGCGCTTTAGCAAGTCATTGCTTAGGCCGCTGCTCGTTGAATACTATGACATATGCAGCAGCTGATGTCAGGATAGAAATAACGAGGGGTCATTTCTATTCAAATCTCACTCGTGGGGACCATCGGCATACGTGCAGAATATCATTAATCGATTGCTGTGAATCTATGTCTGCATGGCAAATTTAGCTGCGTGCCATTATATTCATTAAACTCGTGCTGAAGGGTTTAATTTAAGGGCTGTTCAAACTCCAGCCCAAAGGCCCCACCCCGGCCCGCCGAGAGCTTTATTCCGACTCACGACGTAACTCCAATTTAATATTAAACACGGTCCACCTTCACTTTGGAATTGCATGAGTCAATTATTTCACACAAAAGTGCGGAGAATATTAAAGTGAACCATCGTGGTTAGTATGTAGGCTCTGTAGTGACGTAGGGGGCTGAAGTTGGGAGGGGCGGTGGTGCGGTGGGGTCAGCTTGGAGACTGTGGACTGCAGTTTGATGGCACAAAGTGTTGTAAAAAAATACGCTTCGTCTCTTTTTCTTCTCTCACAGCACTGCTCATCACATTTTCCTACCCTCTCATCTCTCTTCTAGATACACATCTTATATCTCTTATGCATAAATCTCTTATCTTTATTTACTTATTATATGCCTGTGGCCTGCGCTGGGTTTTAAACGTTTACATTTCCCATGGCCTGGTTGTGAGATAATGTGTTTGGTCGAGTAACACGTTGTAATTGTTACCCCTGTTTCTAAGCCATTACAATATTTGCCACCGTGTTCAAACGAAATGCATGTCAAATTGTGCAGATTGACTTGGGCACCATCAAAGACACCTTCCAGAAAAAATATGAGAAGACACTTGCCTCCTATGTTGCTGGCGACTGCAGTGGAGACTACAAGAAGATACTGCTGGCTGTCATACATTAAACCTTGCACAGAATGTTTAACCTGCAGACCGAATGACAATGCATCCATTCAACGTGTTTTTACAAATGGCACAAGGCCAATTTCCATAGTTTCCCCCAGTTAATTCTCTTGGCCGTTTTTAGTGCACTTAAGATGATATAGCAGAAGATGAGTAGATTGTCAGTTTAATTTTTGACGATAGACTGATTTGAGTGTGATTTTTTTAAAAGCATTAAATGTATTCTACATATCAGTTCCAATAAAATGCTCAAGCCCCCCATAAGCCGTTTATGTCATTCATCACTAATTTCTGAGGACATTTTACGGGTTGACACATTTGATGCGTGTTTGGCCAATTACGTGGGGCTACAGGAACACGTGTGTGTGTGTGTGTGTATATCATAAAACCCCTTTTTAATGCACTGCTGGATGAAGGCCTCACCATTCCGTGTCAGTAATGAGGTTCGTTTGACCATACTTAACGATGGTGGAAAGTGTGAGTTGGTGAAGTAGAAGGGCCCAGCATCAGTTTGGCAGGTGCATAGCGCAGTGTGCAGTGTGCCACCACTCCACTGCACGCTTACATAGTAGCATCTTCTTACTTCAAGGCTTTAATCACTGTGCACAAGACATGTCAAATACTTTGGTGAGCTTTAAAACATTTTCATTGTGGTACACTCATTTAGAGAATGTTACTTGTGTGCAGTAGCGTTTTGTTGGCGGGTCTCCACTGGTTGTGAATGTATAAAGGAAATAACAGACGTACAGATTTTGAAGTTTATTTTATTTATTCACAAAAAAGCGAAGCAAAATGTAACACTGTCATTGCTATCGTTTTCACAGAAAATTCACCAATAGAGAACATACTACTATTTTCACAATGTAGTTCAGAAAACAACCCTAACGCAACAAAAACTGAGCAAAAATATGTAATTGTATTATCATACTCAAGAAATGCAATGTTTTGGCAACTTAGTTTGGTATTATGGTCACATTTATATATTTGAAAATATGTTCACTGATAATGTGTCACAGTTTCATACACTTATATAAACATACTGTATAACTGTACAGGCGTGTCTCGCTTAACAAGCGTTGTTTCTACAAGCATTTGCTCAAACGACAAACTTTCATTTAGACAAATTTGTTCTCAAAACGAGCAAACGTTTGCATAACGATTGGAGACCGATCGATCGAGTGCGTTTCGTGGCAGCAGGGGGCGCACTGCGGCCCGCAGCTGTTTGTTTAGCAGCTGTGCTGTGTGCACGAATTCATGGTGTGGAGGAGGAGGGCCTCATGGTGGCACCGCAATGGGTCGGTGGGGGAGCGGTTGGATGGAGAGGAGGGGTGGGTGGCACCGCTAATTAATTAACTGCAGACGCTGAGGACAGGCACCTGCAAGCACTGTGGCTATTCAAGTGTGGTAAGTGTTACATTTTATGTTTTAATTACTTTATTTTAATAATAATATAATTTCAAATTTCTCACGTTATAAAAATAGTTTGAGAGTGGGAACATTTTGGGGCTGAAACTCAGCTTTTCAACATGGGAGTCAATGGGAAAACGATGATCATTTGAATAATTTTTACTGATAGAGCAATTTTCGGGGAACGTATCTCGTTAAACGAAACACGCCTGTATTTCCATTCATTGAAAACTTAATTTGTGTTATGGACAACATGACATTTAAGCTTACTCGAATTGTATGTTTGAAAACGGTTACACGTAATATTTTAGATACATATGTTAGATTTTCCCATATATTACAATATAAATAGATTTTGACTTAAAACTTTCGTGACTGCAGGAATTCATATTCTTGGTTCTTTCGGTAAAGTCACGCCTGATGAAGACCGCTTGTGTTGCGATCGAAACGTCGTGGTTTTTTGCTTTTATTTAAAATTGTAATGTTTTCTTCCTATCTACGTGACTTTACCGAAATAACCAAGAATATAATATAAATAAAGTGAATGTGCACATACATTACCACTTCAAACCATTTTTCAACAATTTATCACACGTGAAAAACTATCAAAATATCAGCATGCGATCAACATGTGTGAAAAATAGTCACTGAAAGTCATTCAAATTACGTATGAATAGCTGTTTAAGTTGTGTTAAATTATCGAATGACATTTACAATATTACAAATGTCTGGTTAGAACCGTAACATATGAGACGTGCATCTACACCCTCAGAAATACTTGGATGCAACTACAGACGATCCAACCTCATAACCACCGTCTTGTATGCACAGGTGTCTAGATGCCGTAGAAATGTAAGATATTTTTAAATATTTAAAATGCTAATCTTTCATTTCCATTTTTGCACATGCATCAATAGCATATAGCTATTTACAATGTAATAAACGGTTACACTTCACAAATGCTAGTATTCGAATGTCTAAAATTATACATATCAAAACACATACAGTATCTCTTTCTACACAATAGTACAACATCCGAGCTGCTACCTCTTAATAATGAACATTCATATGTCACCAATTTCACAAATTACATGTATACATTTAATTAGAGAATCTGGTAGCAAATATAAAGTAAGTGGCTTTTCCACTCTGGCCATAGTTCTTTAAAAAAGAATAAAGCAACCCCTTAGATAACCATTTGCATGAGAATGAATGAGAAGCCAGTACAATTTTAAATTCCAATGTCGTGCATTCTGAGATCTGCATGCGATGCATTGAACTGTAAGCATGATTTTAAACGGAGCTGTAAAACATGCAATCAAATCGGCCTTAATTGTCAGATCTCGGATGGTTGACCCAACCAGTGCATAGCAGGTATTGTTATGCAAGGGTCTGTGAGATAGCCGGGGGCGATGGCAGTATGGGAATGGGCTCAGTTTACATCTAGATTTCATGAATTCGGTCCAGTCTGTACATTCGATTTATCTGCGTGGAGTTTTGACGGTATTCACCGAGTATGTACGGGGAGTTTTCTCTTGGTATTCTGGTTTCCTGCCACACAAAGCTAAGCTAATTCATTGCAATGACCAAATTATCCCAATTATGGACCCTCCTGTAAATGAGTTTTGAGAGTGGGAGGAATTCTTGGCTAAATATATGGCATTATGATTCATATTATTTATATTGACGTTGTCTACATTTGCTAATTTCATATAAATGAATTTTTTTACATTTCCAAATTGAGTCTGTAATTTATATTTTAAAGGCCATAAACTAACTAGTTTTTTTTTAATAAATGTTTCCACATTGTATCAATTTCTAAACAGTAATTATGTTTTAGAAAAGCAATCAGTATGCACCATGAATGAGTATGCGCCCATAGTAAATGTATTTGTGAGCTTATTTTCTTTGGAATGGAGTGTTAATGAGAAAAAAAGGTGAATAAAAAAAAAGAAATGAACCACATTCACATCTGGGGAAAACTTAAAAAAGAATAAATAACAGAAAAACTAAGTGATGCAATTTGCATGCACTAAGGACATATGCAGGCGGACATGGAGAGCAAGCTTGTAATGAAACTGAAGATGTCAAAAACGAGGTCTCTGGTTTCATAAGGTGAGCAGATGGGTTCCTTTTAGTAACCTGCCATATGAAGCTGTAATAGTCCAACTCCCCCTGCGAGTCAATTAATTGTGACGATTCCGGGTTTTCAGTTCTTCAGTTCAAGAATAGAGTCTTATTTTTAGAAGGTGGTGCATTGTAGCACCTCCAATGGTAACAGAGGTTATGCGAACCAATTCCATACATGCATGTACTGACAATAATCGATTCTTACACGCCTGAGTCGATGCACATATTGTGAATGTGAGAAGATTTTAATGAAAGGGTCAATGATGCATTGTTATACATGCACGTTTCACTGCTGAATATCTGAATCCTATGAAAAAAGTGCTGGATAATATTTAACTCAGAAAGGTAGATTCATAATTGCTACTGACATTTCACGGTTATTTCAAGTAAGTCACTTTATGGGTAAATCCCAATCTATGAAATTATCATTTGATTATCAAAATGGTACGTTATTCACAGGGTTAATGTTAAAATGTTCCAAGAAATACTTAAAATGCTGGTCGAATAACACGTCCATATTTGTCAACACCATGTAATGGTTGCAAATGTGTAATTATATTTTTACAAAAAACATCTCAATATGTTGTGATGTGTCAAAATGATTAATGTAAGCTTCACTATAAATCGTGTTTGATTTCCCATATCGGAAAAAAAACTGCCAAGAACGGAAATGAAAAGAGGAACACGTTTAATATTGTTATTGTAACAGATTAATAATCTTTATAATGAAATGTCAATTATTATTATAGTTTGCATCTACATGTCTTACTCATGCTAAAGAATGGTGGTCGGTCTGCTCATTGGAGACAATGGTAACTCAACTAAACAATTCCTGTGTATCGGGAAGAATAATGCTGACTTAATGAATAATAACCTCTTGAAATATGATATTGTAAATATGAGAAATACCAGTCTGAATGGTATTTTCATGCTTAAAATACAGCCAAAAGTATATTATGTTTACAGATTTATAATCCATATTTTTTTAATCTATGATTATGGTTATGGCTTTTTTTAGATTCTGAAAATATATTTTAAAAGTAGTTTTTATTGTCTTGTTGGACAGTCTCTCTTGTGCACACACAAACATAGCATAAAACAAACAGACGGTTTACTCTTTATATATTTCCAAAAATATTGCACTCTCGAGGACTTATAATAACCTCCCAACAGACAACCGCTTAGGAATGGTATAACAGTGATAGTTAACTGCCGTAATTGTATCTACAGTAACGCTCACAGTACTCCACTAGCATTGAAACACACAAGAACGTACACAATATTGATGACATTACATTTCGTATCATATATACTCGATCTACTCTTTAAAAATAAATTGCGGAGTCCGTTTTTCTCCATGAGGGTGGGAAGTCATACTTCCCATGCAGCAACACTGGAAATGACAGGTCTGCTGTAGTGGTATCAGCTCACGAGAGCTGAGAAACACCTCGAGTCTTGCAGGTAAAATATCCATCCACACCCAGCAGGGAAATACAAGGAAATGTGTGTGTGGGCTTCATTCTTGCCTCGTCTTAATCATTTTGTAATATCTCAATGATTAATTGCTCTTCTTACAATAGTAATAAATAACATTTATGTACAGCCCTTTGTCAAGTCACTGCCGGATGCAGGCCTCCCCACGATGGGGATTGTTTGAGTGGACTGCTCAGGGCAGGTTGGTGAAGGGGGGAGGGCCTCGGACTGATCCAGATAATATTCGCGACTCA